GATGGCTAAAACCGTGATTAAAGTACTTTAGCCATGGGTTTTAATCACGGGGTGAAGTTTGCGCCTGCGCATTAGCCTCCATAGCAGTAAAATGCCCAAAATATGACCACAAAAGTTTTCCAACATTAAAAAATTAAATACTTAGTTTATATATGAAATAATAACCGAAACTTTCGTTGGAAACACTTTTTAATAACTCTACCGTGAGCTTTTTATATGAGTTAAACAAATGTTCACATTCCTTGCACCTCATCACGCCGACAATAACAGAAAATCGTAAAAATACTACCCGAGAATGTACCTCTCATTACCGCGACTAAGCCCACTAGCAGACTCCCGCTCGTCCTCGTACAAACTTATAAATCCGCTGCTTAGCTGCTTAGCATACGACGACTCGTTACAATGCGTCCATAAACCGTGCGCCGGCGTGCCGGTGGCTCAAACACCCCCTTCGCGTAACACATATATAAACTTTCCACTCACGGACGCAGCAGTTTCGTGCTTCGCACGTTGCGCTCGTACTTTACGCAAATGTGTCAAACTAACGTCGGCGACATCGTGGCAAAAGCCGGTAAAACTTGCGAACGGAACACGGAAACAGGTGAAAAAACTACGCTCCGCATAATCAAGCCTTTAATTAGCTGCAAAATACCTGGGATACTTTCATTTGTCGTTTTAACTTCATGGGTGTGTTTAAGTAGAAGTAAAAAACTCGACTGTGTAGTAAGAGTTCTTCATGGAAGAACATTTTTGTGAGTTTCCGGAAAATGTCTCAAATAAATCAAACTGGATTAAAAATTAAAGACTTAGCGTCTGTCTTGCCCGGAAATGGAAATAAAATGTATTTTTTACTGAATAAATAGTGAAACTCCTAAGAATTAAATGAGAATTATTTAAAAAATAAGAAAATGCTGTAATTGCTGTTAGAAATTGTGAAATTATTATTTTTAAATAAAAACTTTACAATAATTTAATCATTTGTTTAATTATTATTTTGTAAAATTGTATCTTAAATATTTATTGATTACGAAAGATTGGAAAATTCTTTATCAGATAAAAATATAAAATAATTATATTTCCTACAGTAAAAGGTCGAAAATCGCGACTAAAAGCGCTAAAAAGTGACATTTCTCAATTTTTGCCCATTTTATTCAAACGCGAATATCTCGTAAACTAAAAGAGATATTTAAGATCTGATCGCAGCGTCTTAATCTACAACTCTACAATTCTATAATATAAGCTAGTTAAATAGGAAATTTAAGATGAAAAAAATAATTTTAAAAAAATTGGCGAATGGGAGTCAGCAATACATGTACGGTGTCCTGAATGCGGGTCACTTCTACCGCTACCCTCGTACGGTGCCCTGAATACGAGTCACATCTAACGCTGCCCTCTTTTAAACTAAAAGCACAAGCGACCAGCGGAACAAAGAATATGAAAGATTGTAACATCAGATAAATATTAAAAATAATTTGATTCCATGGGGTATATGCGGTCAAACCTAAGCAAAAATATGCTACATGCGATACGAGCAGATTGCAACGCAATACAAAAAACGTAGTTTATACACAAACGTTGATAAATAAGCAAGTTTTGGTTGATGCTAGTCCCATCTATGAATTATACAGTAAATAAAAACAAACAAATTTCCAAAATTCTCCTAAATATGAAAATGAAAAACCTTTCAGTGAGATAAAACAAGAATTGTCCCTAGCAAATTTTTATTTATGAATTATTCTCGACCTCTCCTATATTCCCAATTTGAATACCTTATCTTATAAAGAATTTTCCGAAGATTTCGAATCTTCAATCCAAAATAGGGATAGTTAGGGCGGAAATCCGCTGAATTGCATCTTCAAGTACAACTCTTGCGCATTTGTAAGTGAGATTTATCAGTCGAGTACGCGACTATCTTATGTATTTGGAACACGCGGTGGACCGCAATAAATTAAAACAACGTAAATACAAACTAATATAGGACGCAGGAATTAAAACAAAAAATATAATTTAATTATAAACTTACCAATGCAGAACTCATGGACTCCAAAGCACAGCAAATACTGTAAATAAAAAGAGAAAACACAAGTTAAAACAAAAATAATTCATACGATTTAGTAATATTATAATCACACAGCGTAAAAAAACAAACAATCTGTGCTGTTTACTTAAAAGTTTCTTACACCAGCACGGTGGGTCATTCTCATGATGAATATCAAATCAACATGGGGGCGATACACTTAACCGGCATTTATGGACAAAAGACGCGCAAACAGTAAATAACATTACTATAGTCAATTGATGACCGAATATAATGCGAATTTGGCAAGTAGATGTCCGGACAAACAATGCGAGTCGTGTAAAATACGCCTGGATCTACAAGAGACCGGCACGAAACTGGCTGCAAACTGTGCAAACAACAACGCGACAGTTTATGATAAGAAAGCAATCGATGCGCAAAGCCGGCGGCGCGTCGATGGCACGCGACCTTGTGTGCGAATTGCAATAGACACGTTCTTATAGCAATAAGAACTAAACTGAAATGTGCTGCATGCGACACCGCGACGAGAATCTTACCCGTAGAATCTCGCACGGTAAATGCGATAAGAAAGTTGTTTATACACAAACGCTGATAATAGATTTGTCTTCATAACGAACACAATTCTATTTTATGATATTTAGTTCATGCTAGTGCCATCTCGGAATAGAATTTACGATGCGACAGTTCACGCTAAGGCTCTGCACCAGCCGCAAGAACCCCGCAGGTAAAAGCAATAGATGCACAAAGCCGGCACGCGACCTTGTGCGTGAAATGTAATAGATGCGCATAGCAGGCGGCGCGTCGATGGCACGCGATCTTGTACCCTAATTGCATGCAAATAATAAAACATAGAACTAAACTGAAATTTAGGTCAACTGCAAACTCTTTCAATAATTAATAAAATAATAAAAGTATTTGAAATAAATACGAAACAAAACGTTATTTTCAACCATGTTGAAATAAATTTTAGTTCCGTCGGAACGCAATCATTGAATTAAAATTCTTGTTATTCGCATAATAATGATTAGAATTAGAAACGTTTTGCACAGTCAATTAATTATTGGCATGCACAAAATATCGCCGACCGTCGCCCGACGGCAACGGACTCACAAACACGTGAATAAATGAAACACGCAAAATTTATAATTAAGAAGATTACACACGCGATAAATAGTTGATAACATATCAAACACGTTTATTAACACTAATTATCACCAGCGATCGGGAAATATAACGCTATTTAGTCAACTTAAATCAAAGAATAACACGAGCCGAAAGTGTGGAATGTGTGCTCGCTGTTATCGCACCGATGCAACAAAACAAAATTCACTCGCTGGAATATTTCGAGATAATCCTGCATCGTCGCGCCATCTGAGGACATATAATGAACCTCACAAAAGTACTAAGTGTTTAGAACAGTATGGCGCGCATGTGTAGCAGTGCGGAATTGTCTATGTAGCAGTGAGCGGTCACGCACATAGATGGTAACATCCGTGTGACACACGTACGCGAGAGTGTGCATGGATCACCTTGTCTAAAGGAATAGCAGTTTTGTACACAAATGCAATAAGTTAAACCTAGATTAGGTGTGATGAACAAATATATAACTGCGTTTTATAAGGTTGTTTCCAAGATTAAAATATAAATGGTATTATATCAGCGCTCTTCTTACAACAATTAGATACAACTCGATAGAGAATTAAATTCTGCATCTTTTGACCCTGTTTTCAAGTTTGTACGGCGCATAGTTTCAAAATTCTTATGCTAAAAGATTGACCGATTTTACATTAAATATTCGAGAGATATTAACTCTAAAGTTAATTTTTACTAAAGTAAAAACCTCCAAAACGATTTAAAAAATAAACTTGATGAGCTGCGACTGCGATTAATCAACAAGAAACTAACTTTAAAACCTGCAAACGTCGCACAACCCCAAGGCACAAAATAAGACCAAAAATAAATAGCAGAGTAAAATATGCATTACAAACATGCCGCGCCATCTATCGACACACGTAATAATGAGTAAACAGCATTTAAATGTCTGGTATTAATACTCAAACAAGGATCTCTAATATTCAGATAATCCATTGACAGGTAGTTGACGATTAAATGAAGCCATGAAAAAATAAATTTGACTTACCGCATTCGAATGATGATACTACATTTTCAAAACCGGCGAAGATAAAGTCTAAAGTGTGTGTGCACAATGTTTGTTTCCCGAAATCTTGACAATAACACCTATTTTGAGATAGTGAATATATAAAATGGATAAATCACGGTACAAAACTTTAGTTTAACCGCAAACTAAGTACAAACAGCGTTGTTTATATTACCAGTACACGAAAATATGAATAAAACGACGAGCGACGCACTACTTACGACCAACGTACTCATTCTGTGGCGTTGCACAGTGTTACCAACTCAAATTTTGAAAAAGGTACGTTTTGATATGACATTTTCAAAACGTGCCCACGGCGAAACATTTTACACAAAAATAAAACCGAATTTTATCACAGAAATACAAATTACAAAAATATAAATTGTATCAACTATTAATTACCTTTTAATGTTTTATTGGATGTGTGATTCAATTTTTGGTTAACTGTTCATGTTTTGTTTAATTGCAAAATTACATTTCGGTTGTAAGTGTTTCGCTTTTGCTGTGTGCACATGAATTAATGGAGTGTTTTTATGTGTAGATCAGAGAATACGATTTCCTGCTGAAAGCTAAATTAAAATATGATTACCTCAATCTTTTTAGTATTGTTGCATGAATCAACTTCCCAGAACTCTCCCTGTAACTAGTACATAATCAGGAATCGTGTTTTGATTATTGTTCTTTGGTGTAACAAGTTATAAATGTATAGGTTGCAGTGCCCTGCTTCTGCTTCAGCGTTTCGATCGGTGGTAGGGAAACAATCTGTGTCTCCGTTGTTCCGCGCATGCGCCAGCAGGAATCGCGCGTCAATATGGCGAATGTTTTGAAAAATAAGTAGCGCACAGTAGCGTCTTCGGTCAGCGGCTGGTGGGGCATCAGCTGTTTAGCCGCGGCGTTCGCGCTCCTCGATAATCGTGCGTCGAGTTCTCTTCGTCGCTGAAGATGAGTACGTGTATGTGTAGTACGATGCGATCATGGGTTCCATCGCCTCGGTGCTTCAGTGGCAGTGTGCGGAGTGCAAGCTAATCAATCCGACCGAGTCGGCCGTCTGCCATCGGTGCGGCTGTCGTCGCCAGCGCAAGAAGTCACCCGACGACGACGACGACGAGGAAGCCGCACGCTGCACTGTGATTAGACGTATAAAGTCCCAACCACCACAGCAGCATCTACGAACAAAAGAAACGCAAAGGTATGTAATCTACAATAATCCAACAACGGGTCCCGAAGTGTCTGGGGATGATGCAGACACGCAACATTGCTACCTGCTCGAGACTGGTTCCTGCAACATTTCTAGAGCAGTGGAGCAATGATGATATCAAGCGTCATAACATCGGCACCTTTTAGCATGTCCTTCAATTGGACGAATCAATAATATTGTCACAGCTGTACGCTGTGTTCGGGGGACCGCCGTGTCATTGTTACTCTTTGTTTGTTTGCATACCTATCATGTTACCAACCCTACCGAAAAAGGTACAAATATGATTCGTAAAATTAACTGTTTTTTGAAATACAATGGTAGGTAGTACGAGAGGGTGAGTATAAGCTGAGTAAAGTTAAGTAAACACTTACTGTACGCTATACCCTCACAATATCGCCAAAACGATATTTTTACTAAACCATTGCAAGTCAATGCAAGTATCCACATCAGGCTTGACAAATACTTGCATTGACTTGCAATGGTTTAGTAAAAATATCGTTTTGGCGATATTGTGAGGGTATAGCGTACAGTAAGTGTTTACTTAACTTTAACTGTTTTTTGTTGTAGTGTGTTCTCAAATTTCAGCCATAAATTGTTCAAAATTATTTTTATTTGATTTTTTTATTTGATTTATTACCATAAATTTGTTGCTCTTAATTTCATGTACATAATTATATACTTATGAAGGTACATAGATACATACGTACTAGTTTTTGTCCTAGAAATATTAATAAATTGTTTGTTTTGTCGAAATTATTATCTGTAATGAATTTATTTATTCCATTATTCTTTAATAGTTCAACTTAATTTTGAGAGGTAACGTGTATATTAGATAAACTTAACTATACTTATGAATTATTTCGTTGGCAGACTGTCTTTTTGTGCGGTCGAGCGCGATGAATCAATTTATTAGACACCCCGACAAGTTGACGTCGCCACGCATCTTTAATTATTTAAAAACTCATGAATACTGAACGTACACTTGCGCTTTCATTGCGGGGTTGACTCCAATCATACAGACATATGTTCTATTCCAATCAAAAAAAATGACGAAAAAACATGGAGGATAAAGTTGTAATATCAAATTTCACGAAAATAATTACAACAAATAGTGTTTCTTTTAATACGTACGTCTGTATTAAATTTATTTTATGTATGTTTTTATGTTTACAGTAATATTGTATACTAGCTTTAACCCTTGGCTTCGCTCGCGAATATCTAAAATAATGAAGTTGCTTCCGTACGCGTCTGTAGTCACAGAAGAAGTAACAATGAAGTTGAATGGCGGGAAGTTTAAAATGGCTGAAAGTATAGTCTATGGAAGTATAGTGTACAGTCTCCATAGTGTAGTCAATTGGATTTGATGTTGACGTAGCTGTCGGTAATACAGTGTGATAATACAGTGTGATGGTACTATAGTACTTAGGTTTGAGCTTCATTGCTGGAATGCTAGATGGCGTTAAAGTAGTCAAATAGCCAGATGCAGAGGTATTATTGGCTAAACAATTTCTTTATTTTATTTAAAAAATAATTTTTTTTATTAATTAAAAAGTAGCCTATAACCATTCGTGGACCACTAAGAATATGTGTACAAATTTTCACGATGATCGGTTAAGTAGTTTTTGCGTCAAAGTGTAACAAACATCCAGACTTTCGCATTTATAATATTAGTAGGGATTATATCAAAGAAATATGAAAACAAAGATGCATTTTGACGTAAATTGTAGAACGGAAGCATAATATCTATTATTTATTTTTCCTTGTTTTCCTTTCGAAACAAAAACATTTTAATGGCTTTAAGTTCCCTCATTAAATATATCGCTTTTAAAATTTGTCCTCAATTAGGTGTAGGTGTACTACAAAACTCCCTTATGGTCATTAATGCAAGGTTCAAGGCTACAAAACTAATCTAAACTTTACTTATCGAGTTTTTTGTTATAAACTATCACATCATATGATTATGATTGATTTTTTCCTTATGACAATAACACCTGGATTCCTCTGGTTTTATTTATCCACAAAAGGCAAAAATGATAAGATAAATATCGGATTAAAACAAATTGAAGATAGTGCAGCATTTGTTGTAATCATTACGGTGATGACGTTAACCGCGTTCACTTTATTCGTGGTCATGAGCAAAAAAAAAGAGTAACATTAATATAAATATAACCACTATTCTATAAAAAAACTACCCTTTCATTATCATCGCTTACCAATCATGTCGAAGTCACGTGTAATGAATGCAACATTGAATTTTATCTATACATATTAATCTAACACTAAAGTTCATGTTCGAAACTTCTTACCCCAATGGGACTTGTCATAGTCATTCTTTTTAAATAAAACATAAATTCCATTGTAATTATTTATTGTTCAGGCCCGTGAAAGTTTTTGACTGAATATTTAATATGGGTCAATGTTGTCCCCGTCATAACGGGGGTGGACAATTTTTTCCGTTCGCGTTATTAACATGAATGGCGATTATCTATTTCCATTCGTAGTCCATGTCCATTCCAGTCAAATGATAAATCGATACGATATTTTTTTCAACAGTCGCATTGTAGGGGTGTAAACGTGGAATCGCGTTCCTCAGTGACACGCCATCGTTCGTCCAGCGACAAATTATTGTCACTGGTGTGGGCATTGCACAACAACCACTAGCACGGCACTTTCGCTCGCAGTAGCCCGAAAGGGATAATTTATTATATTTGTTTGAGGTATTCGAGAACGTTCCCGCGTACAATGAACAAGTAAATATTGAAAGTGGGCCAAAAATCAAAAAATAATTTGTTTATGATCTACTCAAGTAGAGTGTGCGTTAAAAACTTGCATTTCGTTGTGTGCACACGCTGACTACGATTCTATTTTAATCTCAATTATTTTTGTTTCAGTGGTAACTCCCGCTCGGATTCGGTGAGAAGCGTCGGAAACGTTGGTCGCTCATCAAGTGCGCCGGATCTCACCGTCGTCGGCGCGTGCACATCCTGCGGACTCATCGCGCGGTCCGCGTGTAAGACATGCGTTGCGTGTGATCGGCGTATGGCCACGATGAGCGGCGTGTGCAAAGTTTGCGCCGCGCTCACGCTGCCCCCCGTCGAGCAGCCTCCGCAGCTGTACCAATCCTACGATCTGAAGGTGGTCTGCCACTGCCAGAGCCAACCCGCCTCCGATGCTCGCTCTCGACTTCTTGGAATCTCAAAGATTAAAAGCTATAGCTGTTCTATTGGTGGCGGGGAAGGCAGTGGATTCGGAGGGTTGGAAATGCGGCAGAACGTACGCACGACCGCAAGTGGGATCAACTACTCCAAGGAGAAGCACAATCAGTACCCGTGGCGAGTTAAAAGTGGTCCAATGGCTACCTGGACTTGCAGGCGATGCACCCTGTTAAACAATCCTGAATCCATTATTTGTGAGGCTTGTGAATCTCCTTTCTCGCCTGATAATAATAGCAATATCAGTCGTAGTGTGATAATTAAGGTAATGATAGCTTAATGTTTATCTCCCGAAATAAAAAATATGTACTTCAGTACAATAGATCAATTGTGTGTTAGGTTGATAACTGGTCCGATAATGATGCGCTGAGGCAACCGAGTCAGTCATATGCGCACGAAAAACCGATGTACAGGAGATCATTCTCCGAACTGCCGCAGACACAGAATCTGAACACGCCGAATCTCAATCGTCGCTCGTTAGGCGCTGACATTCTGCAACAATCGTTTCCGAAGTCGAGCACATCGATGACGGACATCCAGGCACAGAATACAATTAGCAGTATTACAAACAGGTATGTCCCATACACATGTCCCAGCAGTCATTTTGTACATGTTGTGTTTGGCAAATACACAAATCGGGCATTAAAAAATCTTTAACAATCAACAACATCTTGGCATCCACGCGCAATGTTTTTCTTTTGCATTGAATCAACACTTGGAAATTCGTTTTGTGTTTACACACACTGCTCACAATAACACAACGCATCGCATCAGCAAGTTTTGCATCGTGCACCATTCGTGTGATTCTTGTGTTATCAAGCAGTGGGTTTAACCGAAAACGATTCCGGTGTGATTCTAGAACGGAAGTTAGACGCATTATCGCCCAGTTTCTGACGTTTTCCATTGCTAATTTAAGATACGGCAGTCTGAATCGTTCGACGAGTGATATTAGCGGTTGTGAGGGCGCGATGGCCGACGCCGTGTACACTTACATCGGCATCACCGATCCGGACGGCGGCGATAAGGGCCACCTGTACGAAAACCAGAGCGTGGTCGACGCCGCCGCCGCGCACGGCAAAACGAAATATTTCGATCCCAACAAGCACGAGGCAATGTACTGGCTTATCACGCTTTATTACCATTGATGCGTTATTAATTATTTTAACCTTACAGACTGGAAGCCCTCAAGAATAGCCCACCTAGTAGTTGGAGTCCCAAGGAGAGGCGATGGACCTGTGCGCAATGTTCCTTCGCTTACAATTCGCTCATTGTGGATCGCTGTGAGGTGTGCAATTGTCTTCGAAGTCAACCATGCACCATTACTGTCACAGAGGATATCAACACCCCTTCAAGTTCATTAGCAATGTTTGTTTTCGAATAATTATAAAATTAGAATCTATATTAATAACTCTATATTCTTAGTCCTTTCAAATGGAACGAAACAACATCTCAAGTACCTATAGCAACGTTGGATCAGGGTCTTGAAGACGACTTCCAAACGCTACCGGGTGAAGACTTCCCCGATGATGGTAAATGGACGTGCAAAAATGCACGCTGGTGAATTCGGGCAAGTCTCTCACGTGTGTGGTTTGCTTTGGTTCGAAACTGAAGTCGCTCTCGCTGTCGCACGATATGACACTGCGTAAAGGCGAATTCTGGACCTGCGGGAAGTGCACACTCAAGAATCAGATCGGGACACTTGTGTGTAAAGTGTGCAAGACTGAAAAGCCTTCAACTTTAGCTCTCCCAGCGCCTACTTCAGGTTCGCGGAGTCCATCACCTCGACATCATTCACGCAAACATCATCATGCCGGTAATAGCTCACGGGCTGTTTATGCCAAGGTGAATTATGCACAAAAACGAAAAACAAAGCAAGGATTAATCTGGAATCCGATAGGGAACAAAGTATACACAACTCTATTTCATGTTTTTAATTTTTCTATATGTGTATTTTGATTTAGATGCTTCAACGAGTAATTCAATAATATTACCTTTGATGAAACCTTGGGAATGTTTGATCTGCACGTTTGAAAATACCAAGTCGCAAGTGTATTGCGATATGTGTCTGAACATGCGGCCTGATCCAAGGGAACCTCCCGAACAACCTCAGCGTTTGACAGCTGAAGAACTGGCGAATAAACATTGGAACTACATTGTGCGGTATTGTAAGTTGAAAAAACAGAGTTATATAGATGATACGTTTCCGCCAGCACCGACGAGTTTGTATTACAATCCCCCGGAGAATAAGGATGTCAAAGATCCCAATTGGATCTTTGTGTAGTGCTGTTTAAAGCTCGCAATGCTTCACCGCCGAATATTGGTGCGCTTGTAGAGCACAGTAAACGGCAAGTCAGGGGTTTTGTTGGTTGTAACAAAATGCTCGAACCCGCCGAATATATCGTAGTGCCATTGGCGTTCAATCATTGGCACACTGGCTTAGAAGATGCCGAAGCATATCCTAGGTAATTAAAATTATATTTATAATAACAAATCACTATTTCTCTATATCACAGATACGTTCTGGCGATTCATTCCTCCAAGAAGGTCCTTACCGAACAAATGATACCTCCACAACATATACTCGCTGACTCAATCATCTCACTGACGCTGGCACGTGGGCAGCGTCACGAGGGTCGCGAGGGTATGACCGCTTATTATCTTACCAAAGGCTGGGCAGGGTTGGTTGTAATGGTTGAAAACCGCCATGAGAATAAATGGATCCACGTCAAGTGTGACTGCCAGGAGAGTTACAACGTTGTTTCGACTCGGGGCACGCTCAAAACCGTCGATTCTGTGCCACCGTTACATCGACAGGTAATTATCGTACTCACCCAGCTTGAAGGCAGTGGCGGATTCTCGATTGCCCATCGCCTCACGCACCGCCTTGCAAATTCGCAAGGTTTGTACGATTGGGGAGCACCTGGCACTTCACACGACCCTGAGTTGGACCATCAGACGAGCGGGCTGCACACGCCGCGTCTGATAACGTAAAACAGCTCTCTGTTTCTCCGCGGTGTATGCTCGACTCCCGTTTAAGTGATATTAATGCATAAGGATATTCAACCGTGAACATTGACACTCACTTGTATTGTATTTATTTAAGTTTTGTGTTCGAAATTTAAAAGGATTACGTTTAATAGTCTTAAGTTACGAAGGTTGTGGAGACATGTAGTCTTTGCGCTATTTCCATTCTTGATAAGAATTCGAAACACAACGCCCTGTATATGTTAAGACTGATGCGTAGTTTGTGCTATGTTGTGCCATCTCGAACAATGAAAAAAAAAAAACAGTTTATAATAACGGTCCTAGAGATGATGCCGCTGAATTCGAGGCTGGTTCGACTTTAAACGAAGGTAATACTTTGAACATTCTCACTTACACGTGTTCATTAAATATAGTTTAGTGACAGTATGTGGCGGGACACATTGAAAGAAAGCAAATACTATCAAATCGTAGTCTTCTATCAGAAGAACGCAGAAAGCAGTACACAATATAATTCTAGCACATATAAGTTGCTTACCTTTGATTGCGCAGGAACAATTCACGAATTGTTCATCAACGTCATGCAAAAAATGGGAATAATGTTGGAAAAAGGAACTTCAGGGTAATTCAATTGGACATTCTCTTGAACACAAGTAAAAGTTTTTGGACGGCTATTCTTTCGTTTGGTATTCTTCAATATTAAATACGGCTAAAATTAGTTGAAACAAATCAATTCTCTTGTGGGCGTGTTTTTCCATGCAATGGAGCAGCTTATAATTTTGATTTCATGGCAGACAATAAATGGTCGATATTATTTCTATGTAATTCCAAGACAAGCTAATGCAATGAAAGTGTTTCGCAACGTGGAACAAGTCTGTAGAACAAAGTATATTATTCAATTTAAATTTTAAAAGTATAAGTGTCATATGTGCGGATATAATATAAAACAAATCGTCTAACTTAATCCCCTTCATTCTTGCCAAGTTCTTGGTCCAAGTTTTCCTGCGCTTTCTGAACCACACGATCTAGAAACTCTTCCATCAATATGCTTGCCTCTAATGAGTTCATTTTTATATTATCCAAGCTTCCTTTGTCCACCAATCTTACTTCTGGTACAGAGGCGGCCACTTTGTCTGAAACCGCGTCCATATTTTGGTCTTCCAAGACGTAATGCAATGGCACATTATCAAGTATTTTTTCGACGAGTTTAGTGATCATCTGTATGGGTTCATCTTGAGAATGAACACTGAGCACACTATTGGCGATTTCATGAATTTGTTCTGTCATTCGACCTCGTATAATACGCTGTTCTTCAGTTTCTTCTTCCCCTTCAAAGCTTTCATTCTAAAAGAAGCATAAACATAATTTACATAGAAATATAAATGTTTTTACCACTCACAAATTCATCGACTGTGTATAATTTCTCTGCGGTGAGTTCAATCAAAGAGTTTTGCTCATCTGTCAACCCGTCAGAGTTTGGAATGCCTTTAAGTATATCATTGATAATCTCAGCCACATCACATTTGTTCATCACGGCGGATATCACACTTTTAAGAAGTGATACGACTTTATTGTGTCTTAGTTGTAGATTAATGTTTTTGAAGAGGTCATCCATGATGCCATAGATAACTTCCTGTCTTGTTTTACGTCTACATATAAATATTTTTAGTTATATTTTAAACTTAACGTGATAAACCAATACTAACGCTTCTTGAATTTGTCTATTGGCCCAATATTCTTTTGCGTAGTTCTCTGTGTACATGTAATCATCGATCTCTTCCCATTCTGAAACGAAACTCTGCTCTTCATAAACTTCCTCGTCAGATACGGTGCTTGGTGTTCGACTTTTCGGAACTTGCAACACCAAACCCTTTGTCTTGTACGTTTTGATTTCTCGTCTCAACAGCTGTAAACAATTAAAAGTTTTACACTAAGATTAATTATTTCATAATATATTACTAACTTCAATATCCTCATTCTGTGACTTGATTATCTTATCCAACTTCATCAATTCAACCTTGACTTTATTTGCTTGTTCAAATAAATGATCTATACCAGCTAGGACCTTCTGTTGATGGTCGTATACTTTACTCAAGTCGTCTTTTTCCACCCTCAGCATACACAACAAATCCTGCGAAGCGGTGTTCAGCTTCAACCATTTCATCATCGCTTTTTGATGACCTTTGAACACTTCATACAAATGATTCATCTGTGCATTAAACATGCCCTTAACATCGGATAGTGACAGTCTCAGATCAAATATCATCCGCTTGAGTAGATATTCTTCAAGTTCTTTGATGTCCACTACACTGCCGAATTTAGTATTCATTTCGCGTATGATTCGCGTTTTCAGTTTCTTCATTGTTAAATCCATCACATCGAAATCAGATTCCATTCGTTTCAAATGTAATAAACTCAGGATATGTTTATCGGTTTGTTCCTGGCGCTCTTTTTCAAGCACACCAACACGTTGATACAACGCTGATAAAGTTCTCTGAGAGAAAACTAGCGTGTTTTTGATGTTGTTTAAGCCACCTTCTGGTTTAATATGTTTCAATTGATTAAGTTTCAAAATAACCGTGCATATAATCTGATTGAGTTTCTGTTGTTTTTCCCGTTGAAATAATTCTAATTCATCTCTGCGCACTTTTAATTCTGAATCAATAATACGCATTCGTTTGGCAAGAATTTCTTTGCTTTTCATCTTTGCATCGGTTTCAATGGTGCAGTTCCGATATTGTTGTTCAATTTCATGGCGTTGATTGCGCAGTTGAAATGTCAAATCATAAAAGGTACGATCACAACCCTTTGGACATACATTTTCATCTAATCGTACTATTCCAAAGTCTTTGGAGTCAATGCTAGCAGCGTCTTCTTCTTCACTTTCATCGGAACTTGACGAAGACGATGAAGTATCCGAATCGTCATTAGGTCCTGCAATTTTCGGAGGTTTGTATTTCTTCTTAAATATTCTCTTGAAAAAGTCGAAAAATTTATTATCGGACACTGTAGAGTAAAATGTCTTGTTGATTTCCTTCTCTTGTTCTGTTAATTGATCCATTTCTTTCTTTAAATTGTCAATGGCGGCAACAAGATGTATATTCTCGTCTTGAATATCTAATAATTCTGTACGTTTTGAATTGACATTGTCGGAAAGTTGATTTTCTTTCTCTTCACAATCTTTCAAGATGAGAAGTTCCTGGTGCAAAAGCAACAAGTGTAAATGCATAATATTTGCTTCCACACGCACATTCATTATTTCATGTCTGATACGACTGTGGATCATATCGAAATGATCAATGGCGGTGACCATGCAGCGAATAATGCGATTCTGTTCGTAGCGTTTCACTCGATATCGAATTTGGCGGAAATGATCCTCCCAATCGCTAACAATATCATTTTCTTCTGGATCAACCGTTGCTTCAAGAAGAATCGAGCGTTGAAGTTGATCATCTGATAACTTTATTAACGTTTAAATATTGAATATGTATTAATACAGTACTGAAAATGGTAATAAAATACCTTTAGTGGTTTACTTTTGACTTCTTCCTCTTTAGGCTTGTTGCTGATTGTTGAAACATGTATTTCCAAATATTTTTCCGGGTACTCTTCTTCATCGATTTCAAAAATGGCTGGTCGTTCATAATGGTCACCAGGAAGTAATTCCTCTTGTACAGCTTTCAATCTTTCATCATAACGTATTAATACATCATGTAATGTCCGTTTTTGATCTCTTAAATCGTAGATTTTTAGATTTGCGCCATGAACTAAGTTATAAGACTGAAATAATGTTTATGTTTAAAGTATTATTAATTGTATATAAAAACAAAGCAAAAACTTACTTTTTCTCGGACCAAAAGTAATTGTTTGTACTTTTTAAATGTTGTTTCGCGATGCAGTTTATGAACTTTATAATCAGGAGCTGATTTAAGTTTGAAATCTCCAATCATCTCTTCCGCTTCCTGAATGGTCTCTTCGTCTTCATCTCCAGTAGTTTCGGTAGGCATAAGGGCATTATAAATGTCCCACTAAATAAAATCAATTAAACATAGAATTAAATCCTGATACGATTCTGTTTCTACATTATCCCTACTCTAATATTATGCCGGTTGCGCATTTAAATCAAAACATAACCGCTAAATTCATGTACAGTGACAAAGTAAAATTTTCATCGCTTTGTTTTATCATTCATCAGAGTTAATTGCATTAAATCAACAGCTTGTAGGGGTGTGAAGACCAGGCAGAGAACAGACCAGATTTATTCAAAATGTCTACCAATAGCTTCTTTGGATGGAATCTTCTCTACAACAGTGTCACACAAGACATCAAATCAAACCAGGATGTCTTAATATGCCTTGCACATTATGTCTTGATATCAAATGGCTTTGAATGCATTGGCATTGGAGACTCCAAGAACATGGATGGTAATGAACCCAAGTCAGAAGCTTTGCCTGCAGGTTGGGTAGATCATCAACTTCGATATGTCTATCAAGGCAGGTTGTATCTCCTTCAAGGTACTAGCTTAGATGATGGCATCATGATAAATCTCATTAGAGTAGATGAAAGAACCACATCTATGATACAATTAAACAGTAGGACTGTTCTAAGGAGAACCGGAAGCATTGATGACATGATTCCCAACAACAAAGAAGTTGTCAAACAAATTAAAGAGCAACTGATTGATAAGGTAATCATCAGCAGTAAGAGCAAAGATAGTGGCAGTCAGACAGCACCACAGGAGGCCCAGAGAACAGGATCTGCTACAAGATTTATTGATCCACCAGAACCTGCCAGGAGTCTACCTGGTAACCTTGGACTTGGCCCTGGTAGATTTGGAGGTGGGCTTGGTAGTGATGACCTGGATCCATTGGCAGGTATAGGTGGACCACGGTTTGGACCCGGAGGCAGTTTTAACCCAATAGGTCCGCTGGGTGGTGGTGGAGGAATGTTATTTCAGCCACCAGGGCGTTTTGATCAGCCTAGGGGAGGTGGAGGGGTTCCTCATGGTAGTATTCCACCTGGTGCAAGGTTTGATCCATTCAGGCCACCTGATGTTGATGGTTTACCGCCTAGAAGGCGCCCGAGACCAGATAATGACGAAATGCCACCGCCGGGATTTGATGATATGTATATGTAATTCTTAACAATAAAACCCCCCACATTTTCTACACATTTCTACGCATTAATTAAACAAATTTAACTGGAAACACTGACCTCTCTTTTGCGGTTGTCTTTCCACTCTTTTCTGGCACGGTATTTACGCAGAATTCGATTGATTGGTGGACCGAGTTTGTTTTCGATTATATCCGGCGATAAACCAATCAGAAAGTATTCTAATTTATTTTCCATCCTGGGAGGAGTCTGCGCACGTATGGGTACGGCAGTTGCACGTGAAGTTTGCCTAGAATTCATTTTAATATTTAAATTTTTTGTTTGTTTTAGGAGAAATTCATGATTTTTTTTACATACTCACGATGGGTGTGTGTATTACCCTTTGTACTTTCCAACGCAAGTGTGTTAAATATCAATCAACAATTATTTTATAACATGTTGAGATCAAATTGAGTACTACCTGCTTTTTAAATCCTCTTCCGCCATTTTCCTATCTACCGTATCTAATATTTCTTGAAAATCAGCACCCAAACAATGTTGTTTAATAATTCTGATTGATTCATTTGTTCTTATACTATACACCCGAATGGGATACACATCCATTGAGTCGATAAAATGATGTCGGAGTTTCTCCAAGCGTACACGTGACTTCTCCATATTGAATTCAAACTTTTTTCTCACCAATGCTTCTTCATTTGCGAGCGTTTGTTCCAAATCATCTTCAACGCGTTGATCTACCATGAGTTCTTCAATGGTTAACTTCTGAGATGGTGGTAATGCTTCGTTGGATTTAAGGACTTCTTCGTAGCGTTCGCGAAGTGTCACAATTTTTGCTTGGTAAGCTACCAAAGTAATAAAAAACATGATTTAAACATAATTTACAAAATGTTTCACAGATCTCACCGAGTTTATTCTCTTTTGCAACTTTGTTTAATCTATCAGCTTCCATGTTAACAATGGTCTCTTCCAAACTGGGCATGGTATTACAATTCACATTATCAAACAATTTATACGTTGACAAATCCGGTATGATACGTTGAGGAATATTAATCTTTGGTTTAGGTTCATCGGTATTGAATTTAAACACAAATACATTGCCATCATTCCCCGAAGTGAGGAAGTATTCATTATCATAGGAGAAACTAAATCCGGGAATATATCCATTGTAGTTGTCATGCATCGCCAGGGACCAATAATTGGTAAGATCATGCCAATCATTTGGGTTTATACGGTTTATTCTTATAGACCCATCAATCATTGCAAATAGTAGGTATTCTTTATTATGACTGTAAACATAATTAGCTACGTCTGTGTTTTCCGCGCCGGGAATACTCATGAATCGAAATGGGACTGGATCACTCTGACCCAGTTTATATTCGTATATGAACCCTGCATCATAACCAGCCATTGAAACCCAAAGCGTATTATCAACGGTATGTTGAATCCAATAGATTTTATTTGGTTCTTCTGGAATGTATAATTCCGGAAGTACTTCCTCAGATTCTGAGTCTTGTAGGAATAGTTCTTCGTCTATATCTAGACCAGGGTTATCATTACGTATTTTGATAAGGTTTTCCATCTTTTTCTCGCGTTTTGCTTGCTTTTTTGCTTTGATATTCTTGATATGAATATCCCGATATATTTGAGATTTATACGAGTGAAACCTTTGTGAAATTGGCATCGTAACCAACTCAAAACTAGTTTTTGTGTAGGGTTCAGGTAATGTGGGTAGTTCCATTGAATAGATCTGCCCATGTGTACAACCAACAATAACAGTATTTGGTTCATCATTATGCCATGTGAAACACGTAGGACTGTCTTGGATTGGTATAAATCCAATTGGCACCAGCCTCGGGTACTTCATAGGTTCATACAAAACCAAAAGCACAAATATTGTATAATCCTCAGCTCCTGTAACCAATAATTTCCCGGTCTTGTTTAGTGACATTGTAGTAATATTTTTATTGTGCAGTTTCAAAATTTGTATAATGCTTATTTTGTAACTAGCGGGCGGCCGTTCTTCGATTTTCCATACTCCCACTCTGACAGTACCATCACCAAAACAAGCTAGGACGACTTCCCCCGAACGATCAAATTCCATGGGCATCCAGAGGATTTGTGATCCTGGTGCCGGGAACAGTATTATCGTGAGTAACTTCCTGGTGAGGTAGTTGTATAAATGTACCCATCCACCTATTCCGATGGTTGTAAAATACGGTCCCCAAGGACACACTGCTAATCCCTTGGTAATACCTGCGTGGCTTTTAAGTAGACGCTCACTTGGTGCAGCTTCCTCTTCGATGTTAAGATCTATTCTCCAGATGGCGCCTTTGGCATCCTGTGCGAAATAGTAGGTGTTTTCTGGATCTTGATATTGTTTTGCAATACACATGAAACGAGCACCAGGAGTATGAAAATCATATGTGGGTTCCATGAGACAAAAACGGTCTTCATCTGGAGGATCTGCTTGATCTATTGTATCATAGAACCACATTTTTACATGTCCGTCAAGGGACACTGTCCATAATTCACCATGATGGTAGTTGAACTGGACAATTGCATCATCGTGACAACGTTTACGGTTTTTACGACAGACTTCAAGTTTGATCAAACCCTCTTCCCATACGAGGATGTTACCCCAGTGACAACCTGAGATGACTTTCTCGTCGGCCATTGGGAAGATGCCGACAATGTCTGAGTATTCAGTTTTGCCAAAACGGCCTAGATTCCCTTGAAGTTTGAGTCCTGTGAATGTATTTGCTATTTTCCAGAATTTTATGTGTGCAACTCCTTTAAATATCCCCATAAATGAACAAATTTAGTTTTATATTATTTTATTATAATTTATTGGTTACCTGAAGAGGTTAGGTGTCCAGGGACGTATGGAGAGAACATAACTCTCAACACATCGTTCATGTAAGAGCGAGTACGTAAAAGAATAACTGCTTTGGACCAATTCCAAACTGTTATCATATAATCAGGTTCTCCTCCCTGGGAAACAAGGAGGTCGCCATTGGGACTGTAATTCAGGTGGGTGTATAACTTTGAAGTGCCTGTACCTCCTTTGAGGACACAGACGATTTCTAATGCCGGCCACTCGTAGATAATAATGAGTGGATTTTTCCATTTTCACCAACAGCAAAATGGGGAAATGCTGGATTATTCTGTAAACAAAACAATTTAAAACCATGCAAAACACGAGATATAACTTACTGTAATATGACCAATGCCACCTCCTTTGGCACTTCTTCTGTACCACATTTCCACAGTGGTTACATCAAAAAAATGTATCAGATTACCAGAAGCAAAGATTATAGTGTGTTCATCGATAACAACCAGGTTGTAAGGTTTCTTACAGTCATATCCATATGAAAAACTAAATAATCAAAATTTAGTAAAAAATAACAAAAATACTTTGAAAGATTACTCAAATTCCAAAATGTTCTCTTCTATATCAGACCCATGACTACAATAAGGCCGAGAGATGAAATCTTCGGTGCGATATTTAATAGGACCTTCATAACCATAATAATCATGCAAATCTTCACCCTCTTCTTCACCACCGACTGATATGGCATAATAGTATTTTTCAAATGGGTCAGAAACAGTTGTATTCACTTCCGTAGAGGACATTTTCGAATTATGACGTTAATTCAATGTAGTATCATGAGATTTTGTTGTCAAAGTGTACACAAACAGCTTTCAGAATTCCTAGCAACAAAATTATCGATTTAATAAAGTTTTTTAGGAGTAAATTAGTAGATAGGTTAAAAAAAAAACGAATTTTAAGTTAAAAAGTTTTTATTTTATATTATTTATTTTAATATCTGACCAATTATACAATAATTCACTTGAAAATTATGTTTCAAATTTTAAGGAATTAATTTTCACTCAGTTATCGATTCAAACTCTATTGACATCTATTTTATTTCCAGCTAAATTAACACTGTCTTCCTCTGTCGCGGATATATCATATTCTTTCTTATGATTCCTCTGCGTTTTTCGTATATTTTTAATTTTTAAAAACACAATAACCACGGCGATTGCAAGCAGAACCATGGTAACACCAGCGACAATCAATATAATATTAATAGGTGTTAACAGCTTCTCGAAAGCTATACGTTCATCAAGATCGTAATCCTGCCAATTCGTCCACGTTCCATTCCAATTGTTCGGATCCGCTTTGGGGTCTCTCGGAACATTAATCGGCGCCCTCACCGTCCGCCGGACGTTCATCAACGCCGCCTCCAGATTGATCAGCATTAAAGGTCGCACATTGGCCAAATTCACGCGCTCACATGGATCAGTTTTTATATTAAACAGACAGGGTGATATCAGTGGATCACATTTTTCACTCGGTGTTTGTTCATCGTTTGCTGTCACCGGCCTGCATTTAAGTGTCGCATCATTACGCAATTTTTGAATTGTCGGCGCGCTTAATAATTGCGTTCGTGCATTGGACCCTCCGCGATTTGACGATAGGTGTTTAACGCGTTGAGAGCAACCCCGGCTGATGAGGATAAGATTTGATTTTCTGTGTATGTATAAGAGTGGTTTCCTGAGGAGCCGTACCATTGATCAGTCATCATATTAGAAGTGCGGTAGATGTACTTCCAATCACCTTGGCGAATTGCAGCGTAGTTCCAAATATCGTCGATATTGTAAACGAAATCCGTGCGAGGACTTTGCGCGCCTTCAGAGATCATGTCCCACATGTCTTTGCCATCGATTGCTTCCGATGACAGCTCCGACTTGTTGAGACCTAATTATCCACAGGGAGGAAGACATAAAGCTTATTAGGAGGTTTGATTGGATTGTAATCGAAGCATTAAGCTTTTAAGAGCATTTACGCCAAGTCAATTCAATTACCTGCAGCTGAATAGAATGTAGGCAACCAATCGGTAATGTGCATCATTTCGTAGGATACACGCTGTGGTTTTTTGATTAGAGGACTCCAAATTGCTGAGACACATCGCATTCCTCCTTCCCAAGGAGAATTTTTTAGCTGAAATCCAAAAATATCAAAAATTTTAAAACAAATTTAAAAAATTCTTATATAAAACAACTTACCCCACGTAATGGATAATTAGAACCATGATTTGCATGTATTCCCTCTGATTTTGCCCCGTTGTCAGACATAAAAAGAATGATTGAGTTCTCCAGCATGTGTTTCTCGCGCAGGGCGACGATGACTTCACCGATGCTTTGATCCAACATTGAAATCATCGCTAAAAGTTTATATTTATCTCAGTACATTTAAATTCACTTTTAAAATAAGTTGGTTTTGTTACCAGCGTAAATTCTCCGTTCAGGATCTTGTATATGAGAAAATTTTGCGATTTCTTCATCTGGGGCTTGCAGAGGCTCATGATCGTTTCCGCTGTGCGGAGCCAAGTGAGCCAGGTACATAAACATCGGATTTTTCACGTCGTGTTCGTGTATGAGTTTGACAGCTTCTTGCGTGAAAAGTGTCGTGGAGTATTTGCCTCTTGACTCCCAATCTACTGACATGTTGCGACGCATGTCATAACCAAACTCGGAAGTGTACTACAACATAACCTCAATTATTAGCTATTGAATTGTTATTTTGATTGTTTTTGAGGTTAAAATTGATATTAATTTGGATAAATTTTGATTTATTGATGAATTTAGTTTTATTACTTACTGTAGCGTGTACTGTATGATCGTAATAGTCTTGCATTCCTTGCCAATAACCAAAATGAGAGTCAAATCCTCTATATGTTGGTGTATAGTCTTTTTTATAAAAACCAAGATGCCATTTCCCAATGGCGTGAGTTTTATATCCATTGTTTTTAAGACGTTGTGGAAGTAATGTTTCATTTAGTGGTAGACCCCATGGTTCTGGTTCCAAAATAACCAAATGTTGCATTCCTAAAGAAATAAAAAAAATTCTTTAATTAATCTCTACGAGACTGTGAGTGTCATTAAAGGTTGGAATTAGAATTGCACCGCATGCAAATTTTCCACCTCTAAACCATCCCCCAAAGATGCAATCACACATGAGGGTAATGAAGATCCGCCTTCGTTTGTGAATCGATAACAGCTCGTTGAGTTCCAGCTTCGCCGCGTACCCAGAATAATTGGAGCGTTAACAAATTTAAAATTATGCCGGGTCTTGCAAAAATTTAGCTTTAATTTACACGCGAGTGCAAACTCACAACTTACAAGCACGTACTTGACACGGGTGCTTGACTCTGGATGTTATTCCGAATTCAGATTTGTTTGAGCACTCCTCAAGTTAAATATTCGTTTTTTTTTTGGTTTGGTTTGACAGTGAAGAGAGGAGGACGAAATAAATTTTGTGGTTTGTTGATTTGCGGCGTGAAAAGTGTCATTACAGTAAACTCACTCACCGAGGTGGATTGGATATTTGCCAGTGAGGAAGGCTGCTCTCGAGGGGGTGCACAGAGCTTGCGTGTAATGCGTATTGAGAATAACTCCGTTGTATGCTAACGCGTCAATGTTTGGTGTTGGGATTTCGTTACTGCCATGAAAGCCCACATCGTTAAAACCCTAAAAATATATAAAAAAAAATATATATCCAACAAATTTAAACATAAAAAATATTTAAAAATAAAAAAATAAATTTATTTATTTCTACAACAAATATAAAAATTGCACTTGTGCGTAAAATTGTGCGTGAACAGAAAAAACCTTGCGATTGTATGTCGAACTCGTTTGTTTCATCTGAATTCGTTCAATGCCAGCCATCGCCAGACGCCAAGAGGTTGAGAAACTATAACCTACAGCCTCGAAGCAATTAATTTATTGTTGGAATAAAAAATAACTTGTTGAGATAATACTGTTTACATTCTGCGGCTTATTGCTTATATTTTAATTGTTTCCTATACGAGTATTACATGGAAAATCCAAGTCATGACCATGATCATCAATTTATTATTATTTATAAATCAAGAGAGAACAAAACAATTAAAGTACGAGTATAAATACCAATGTATTATTTAAGATAAACCACAAACATGAAATGAAATGAATTCGATAGTTGATTGTTTGAATGAGCTACATTGCAACCTTCACGGTTTGATCGATTTCACCCAATGCAATCAAACAACAAATTGCCAAACCAAATCAAAACTGAACCACTAGATCAAATCCCAATTTATCTGTATATATAAAAATGAATTGCTGTTCGTTAGTCTCGCTAAAACTCGAGAACGGCTGAACGGATTTATCTTATCTTGGTCTTGAATTATTCGTGGAGGTCTAGGGAAGGTATAAACGGTGAGAAAAATTCGAATAATTGCCGGGAAAATCCTCAAAACAGCTCTTTTCTATAGAACAAAATTTGACATTGAGATTCAATCATAGTTATAGTTAAATAGTTGAATTCGAGATGGCGCGCTGAAGTGCCTTATTGACAAAACTTTATATTGCATAATTTCTTTAGAATTAAAATTGCTAATCTTATTGATAGAATTGACTCTTACAGTATGTCTAGAACAAGAGAGTAAAAACAAAATTACATTTTTTATTAAACACTGCCGGAACGAAGTCGCGGGCAGCAACTAGTTTTTGATAAAAATTTACGCAATATAAAAATACATGCTATAATATCGATAAAAATATTCTATGATATAAAATTATTCTGTAAGTACTTGTATATATGTGTAATATGCAAATGATGAGTTAGTTAGTGTGTAATTAAGTGCTAAAGTCGTTTCTTTGGAAGTAACTTAAATTATACATTTTCAAGCTGATTTCTTAACTTTTTACACACAAACAAACAGAGTAATCGTTCTGTGTTCCTGATTCATAATTTATATTCTTTAGTCATATTCGTCTTATCAATTACTTACTATTTTTACTGAATTTTATTACAATACATTTATCAATTAAATGTACCGTTATCTCTATACCCCATTCTAAATATAATTGCTACAAAGACGAAATTATTATCTTTGAGAAAATCATCGCAAAGATTCAACAGAAATAGTTTTAAATTAAATCGAAAATTATTTGACTTGAGAAATTGCTCTTCGCGATATTGATTTTACAGTAAATTTACAACTCAATGTTGATTTTATTTCTGTGCCAAACAAGAAGAATTAACTATCCGGAATGATATTTAATATTGAATCTATTTCTCACACAAAAATCATTTTTACGTCAAGTAAGTGAAAATATATTACAGAGGATTCGTCACCACCAATTTAGGTCTAATTTTGTTTGAATTTGGTACTTCACAACGACCAGCGTACCGGCACAAACGTTCACTAAAATGCTACTTTACCTCCCTGTCATGCACATCTTCATTTAAATTACCGGTACGCTGTCCAACGTTATTATAACGGGATGTCAACAGTGAACGGTACACCGACTGTCGCTTTATTCTGCGATCAGATGCCTAAATTGTTGTTCCGACCCAGTTATTAATCAATAATACCCATTGCGACATGAATTCGATTCATCTCGAGCAATTAACGCTATTTACACGCCCTAAAATCAATACACGTTCGACTATGATTACCATCCGAAATGCGAATAAATTAAGTAAAAACAGCGTATGTTGATAATGAAAGTCATCATCAAACTTTAATAATTTTGATACTGTGAACTTTTCCCTGCAAGCTGCCAAACTTTTTATATTTTATTTACTGACAGTTGATGCTTCTTTTCGCCGCGGCATGAAAACTTTTTCACTTTAATCACTGTTTTGCTTTAGGCTTCATTAAATAAACACAAACAAAGCTTTAGAGACTTTCGTTCTAATTCAAATAAAACTAAATTTTTAACAAACGAAATAAAACAGGATTTATTCATTCGATTTATAACAGTCGCTTTATTCAAACGCTTGCACTAAAATATTAAGCATACGAAGCTAAACCAAAGAGGACGGGGCTAACAAAAGAAGGATTCTTTATATCGCGGTATTTTATCCAACCGAACGTACTCTTTGGAGAACCGCTGCTGCTCGCGCGCGCATGAGAAGTAAGGCCTGGTAGTTTGTCGAGAGGAAAGTAACCGGTTTCTGGGCAACAACAAAACCCCGCACGTACGTCTGAATGCCTGAATCCCCTGCGCCAGACGCTCACACGGCGGGCGCGCCTTTTTCTTAGTCGGCCGCATCTGCCTGCGTGCAAATTCACACTGCTGAGCGCGATTTTGAGGAGCCGGATTAATCCGATCTGGGAAGAAAAGCGACGAACGTTGCGATGAAATGAAAACGCGCGCGCGCCGAACACAACGGAGCGAACGGAGTGAAATGAAAATCCAATTAGCGTAATGAGCTTTGATCTGCGCAGATTGAATATGGTCACCGAGTGATGATAGAAAGATGAATAGAAAATTGGAGGATTATTCAAAACATGAATCCGGATTTGGTTTTTTATACCAAAAGTTTTTGTTTTCTTTGGGATTAAGTTACGTTTATAAATGCACAAGAGAACGGTCATGAACCCCCGCGCCATTGCATCGCCTACTACCAATCGTCATGTGATACCGATACATCTGCTGTTTGTTTTGCGAAAAGGCGGCGTCGGCAGTGAATTTTGCTCAAAATAATAAACAAATGATTTACACTACTTGATGCACTGTGAGTAAACAAATACTAATATGAAGTTTAAAAACCCCGTCTCACAAATAACTTTAATTTAACTTGATTAAATCAAAAATTAAATAAAATCTCATTCTGGCTTAATTTTTATTTAAATTTAATTTTTATCATTTACAAAATTCATGGAAAAGCCAAAAAATTAATTCTATATAAAATCCCCTTTCTATTTATGTCAACTATTATCAAAATTTAATGAATTCGTAAAAAGTTTGAACAAAAAACTTGTTTTGACATGAAAAAAGTTAAAATAGTTGTGTAATATTAAAACAAATATTTGCAGAACAGCAAAAACCGCATGTATATGTATATACATGCCCATGTATTATTATATTAGCACAGAATTGCTTTACAATGTGTATAACTTTGTACAGCGCACACGAATTTACGAGATGCGCGCACATGCATATTTTGTATCTCATCTCAGTGCCCACATACCTCACTCTACGTAGAGTTCTACGTATCCTCGGTTTGCATACTCTCACAAGTTCATTTCGACGATTTCCCGCAGCCGGAATTTGAACCCATACAGCGCACAAAATATGAAATGCAGAATTCAAAACCCAGGCTGGAAAAATTCAACAACAAAAAATTGCGGAATTTTTGTACGCTTGAGTCGCACATGTGTGATGTTGTTACTATTAATTAAAACATCGATGTATCAATCTGCTGCGCTTGAACCTCACTTTGAATAGACCCAGCTCTCGTGAAACCCTCGAAAGTTTCTTAATTAACGCGCATGCGAAACGCGGCAATTACTCGCCTGGCATTGGACTGTTTGAATTACCAATATATCAACCTAAATGTAACCATATTTAAAAAATCAATGTTTGAGTTATATTATATACCAAACACTTTGTCACACTATTGCTGCCCAAGTAATTGCCCTGGCAGTGTTTACAAAATGTAATTCTGCTTACTCTCTGTTCTATTACCGTAGTAAGAGTCAATTTCTATCAATAAGATTTAAAGTAATTTTAATTTAAAGAAATTATGCATATAAAGTTTTGTCAATAATGCACTTCAGCGCGCCATCTCGAATTCAACTATTTAACTAAAACTATGATTGATTATCAATGTCAAATTTTATTCTATAGAAAAGAGCTGTTTTGAGGATTTTCCCGGCAATTATTCGAATTTTTCTCACCTTTTATACCTTCCCTAGACCTCCACGAATAATTCAAGACCGAAAGATAAATCTATTCAGCTGTACTCGAGTTTTAGCGAGACTAACGAACAGCACTTCATTTTTATATATATATATGATTTTTTGTAGATGATTTTGTGTGTTCATTAATTTGATTTTTATTTCACAAACAAAAATCCTGTAACTTTTAGTAAACTTGCGCTGCTTATTAAATATAATCGTGCAAGAAGCTGGAATATAATTTCGCCGCGACACTGTAATCTCCTGTTTGGCAAAGTTGAAACACAGTCAAACAGTGAGCGCAAAGTTTTCGCACTTAAATCTCGACTTGTCTCGAGATAAGTGGAAACATGCGTGCGAATTTAAACGAGGACATTATGATAATAATAACACCAACACGCGTTTGCTAATTTAAAGTTACGGGAACAAGTTGGATGGACTTGAAACATTTAAATTTCCAGTTTTAGTTGAAATACTTATTCAATAGGAATACAATAGCGCTGTTTATATATTTTTTGTGTGTATTATCTGTATGCAAGGACGGTTTATATTAACGCTGACAAAGTGTTGGCTATCTGTTCGGCCACGTTATCGCACTTCCGTGTCGTTGTCGCGAAAAGTTCATTCAACGTGTAATGAATATGCTCAGAGTAGTTGCGAGGTGAGAATACCTGACACGTAAATTCATTTTTTCTATTTGCATCTTTAAAACGCGTTTTTACGATTTTAAGCAAAACACGTATGCAAAAAACATGTAACAGTGGAGTGCGCATTAAGAAATTACTTTAGTACTTTAGTCACGGGTTTTAGTCACGGAGTGGAATATAATTGCACCAGAAATAATAAATTACTTATTTAGGCAACTTTTATTAAAGTTTACTCGGAAATATTTATTTTTATAATTTTACTGCATAAATATATTGACAAACCAACTACTCCATTGATAAAATAGAAGTTTTGCGGTGACAGTCATCGGCGTGTAATTGCATTGTCATATTGTACGTGCATAAGCCGCGCAGTGCGTGGAATGGTGGATATTGAAGACATAATAAGCGCGGCGCGTGTAACGGATTCGCGTTATTGTGCGTTTCGTTCGGAACGGTGCTTTCGATTCGCGCAGCAGCCAGCAGATCGTCGATGTCAGCTCGCCCGCTCGCTGAGAGTTGAATAGACTTTGTTGTAGTTGTCGTTATTTCACGTGCGCGCGACATGAAAGCCCATGAGGACAATGCTGATGCTAATGAATGCTAATTTGAAGTTTTAGACTACACGCATTTTTGCTGCTATTCATGCATAGGTGGCGCTGTTAGAAATTTATTTGCAGTGGCGGTTAACCGAGATTTCCGGAGGTTAATAGCTGAAAATGCAGAAAAATTTTCGGCACAAGCCACTCGACCACTAGGATCATCCCGGCGTGATGGATGCACTCGACTTGAGCTCGTGTCATTGCCAAGGCACACGAGTATAAAAAAAAAAGCACAAATCTCCATTCAAGCTTTCTGTGCGCGGATGAGATATTTTGAGACTTGAAAAGTGCAGCGTGGAAAGTAGAAAATGGAAAAGTTTAAAGTGAAGTTGATAATTGATTTCTCTTCCACCACTCACTACCATTACTACTCTATATATACTACCATCAGTAGAGTAAGTACTTACTTACTTACTAAAAGTCAATGGGGGGTGGGACGTAATCATGCAAATGTGCCGCCGCCGCCGTTGCCGCTTGAAGAAAGCGAAGCGCACGAGTCCGTAAAACCAACCCACCCACCCCTCTATTGATTGATTGACCCAGATTCGGCGCGTTTAAATTCAATTGTTCCTGTTAATATTTATGTAACGTAATCACATATTCAAAGCGAGCCGAGGCGGCTGAGCAAAACGATGCCGCGCCGCTGGTTGGCCTATTAATCTTTGGCGGAAAATGCACGCCGATAAATACGCATTGTGTTTACGAAAGCGACGCCGGGGCCCAACACACACGCCGCGGGAAGAAAGCGTCGGCATGCCGCCGCCGCCACCGCCGCCGGGAGGAGGAAACGTTCGAGCACGAACGCGAAAGAGATTTATGTCATGACGCTCCGAGCGCTGGCACACGTTCCGCCTGGGGAGCAGCTCCCTCAACCCCCCGAGTCGAATCGTATCATGTCTTTTAACCTTAAAAAAATCAAATTTTTGACTTAACACAACGCGCATGCGCCATAACTACACTTATACAACAGCGCCATCTGGTATTAAAGTAGGCGGAGCATAGAATACCTTAAAATGCTTAAAATGTCTTCTGGGTAAAAGTTTTAAACATTTAACTCGTTATAGTTTATGATTCTCGGAACACAAGCGCGTTTTCAACTTTATACGTCCTTCTGCTGCATTTTGTCTTGTCTCTTCTTGTGTTGTGTTGTTGTCTTGATTAAAAGGTAAAATAAAGCTAAAAACCTTAGAAGCAGTGAACGCAAAGGTGAAACACACACACACGTGCACGTTTTACGTTTACGACGCTGCTGCAAGAGGCGAAGAGACGAAGGTCAGCAACCGGTTTACGTGCGCGAGCGCACTTACTTCTTCGGCGGGTTGTGTTCCCGAACGCATCACACGTTCTTGTCGACTGCGTCATCGGCGCGCGAGCCTTAAAATGTTACAGTATGCTGGGCATGCGCAATATACATTACTACTAGCGCCATCTGTACATTTCAATGAGTTTAAAATATTAATTTCATTAGTGGTGAGTAATAATATTGCGGTTAAAGCAATAATCATGATGAGTAAGTGATTTTAGTCATAATTGGAATATCAATTAATAGGAAATCGTAAATAGCACAACAATAAAATTACACTCTGCTTGCAATAACAATAATTAAATTTATTATGCTTATCATCGTGTTGCGTTGTCAAAAATATTTAAGAATGTTTAATGAAAATAATTAACTTGTTTTTCGCAATAATTAAGACCAAGTGCGTCATAGCATAGCGAAAATGGGAAAATTTGTAAACAGTTTAAGATTTACAACTTCTAATGTAAACGATTTGTTCACTTTTTTTGATTTTAATATGCTGCAATGAAAATAAATCAAACGTTTGAGTGAATCAGATCGGAAAATGAGGAATTGTGTTGAATGTGCGAAATGTGGTCAATGCCATCGCACAAAAATGTTACTTGTGACGATCACACACATTACACGAACAATAAAAGTGTAACTTAATTTAGGTCACGTTTGTCAATAATGCACTTCAGCGCGCCATCTCGAATTCAACTATTTAACTAAAACTATGATTGAATCTCAATGTCAAATTTTATTCTATAGAAAAGAGCTGTTTTGAGGATTTTCCCGGCAATTATTCGAATTTTTCTCACCTTTTAAACCCTCTCTAGACCTCCACGAATAATTCAAGACCAAGATAATATAAATCCGTTCAGCCGTTCTCGAGTTTTAGCGAGACTAACGAACAGCAATTTATTTTTATATATATATATATATAGATAATGATGAGCCAACATTACAATTTTATCAAAATTTCTGTTAAAAACTTGATTTTTTACACACAAAAAATTAAAATTTAAAAATTGATGTTTTAGGCATTATTTATGTTTGTGTATCTTAAACGAAGTGTGAATTTGTCCTGATGTGCAATATTTTATGCTTGGCTTATGTCACGTGTGTTGGCTTAACCAACTGTGAAGATAAACTTTCTTGTAAGACATTTCAAAGCACAATTTCTACCGAATATTTATTTGCAGGAATGCACGGACCAACTAACAAACCAGGCCAGACTGAAAATCTGCCCGACAGTAAACTTATGCCTGAATACTTAAAAGTAAGATATTTCGATATTAAATTTGCCGAATCGAATCAAATTGAATTTATGTGAAGAGATTTAAATTTAGGTATAAATGTGTTTTATATATTTTTATTCATACAATTTTTTCTTTAGGATTTGGGCTACGAGACGCACTTAGTCGGCAAGTGGAACCTCGGTTATTCACGATGGAACGCCACTCCGACGTTCAGAGGATTCGATCATCATCTCGGATTTTTCAACGGTCATGTCAGCTATTATGATTATCTCACTACTCATAAGGTAAATATATTCAAATAAAAATTATAAATCTTGGTGAATTAATGAATTAAGCAATTGTTGACTGAGTTTAGTTTAGACAAACAAAATTTAAATTATCTCTACTTGAGTATAACTCCATTTAAAGCATTATTCAGGTTTTAGTTGCTGGTGGTAGTAAAACAAGCAAAAATATTAATAAAATATTAATATATTAATCATGAGATTAATTTGTTGAATTTGTTTATAAAATATTTCAATTTTTGAATTAAGAAGAATATTTGGCTGTGGCTGTATTTAATCCGCGTCGTCGTCGAGAGATTTACGGCATTCTTTCACGGCGTTTCCTCTTAGTCGGATTACGCTGAGATTATCGCACTATTTACATTGGTTGGCGAACGCTCGTTCGCATCAACCCCAGAGCTCGTTGCAATGCATCGCAATGAGCGCCGCGCCTCGCGCAATGAGCGTGCAGCGATTTAAATTTCATAATTTTAAAATTACATATTCAGGACACGCTTTCATCGCCGGCTTTAATTGAATTTTCATCTGCAGCCTTTTCAATATGCTTTAAACCAGTAAATAAACTCAAAAGAAAATATTAGGATAGAAATCTTATTGAAGAAAAAAATTAAGTTCATACAGACAAAATACAAAAAAATTTAAAATTGTTATTTTAAAATTAATTTTGCATATAAAAATCTTTTAAAAAGGTTTAGTAAAATTTTTTTTAAATAAAATAAATCTAAAAATTTTTGTTATCATGCTGTATTTATGTAAAAAGTGTTGAAAAAGTGTTTGGCTTCTTGATGATGAAAATTCATTCTGTTTTGCTTAATAAATAAAACATTCACAGGTAGACGGCAAGGATTACACTGGTTTTGATTTGCGTCGCGACACGACGCCGGCATGGGACCTCGCAGGACAGTACGCCACCGACGCATTCACAGATTACACAGTCAAGACGATCGAGAAGGCCGACGGCAGCAAACCGTTCTTCATCATGCTATCGCATCTCGCCGTTCATGTGGGCAACGAGGGTAAATACCTAGAAGCACCACAGGAAACAATCAATAAATTGAAACACATCGATGATTCCAATCGTAGAACTTATGCTGGTAAAATAATAAAAATAAAATTTATTTTTTTATTTTATTTTTTATATTTTAAAATTTGAATTTAAATAGCAATGGTATCAAAAGTTGATGACAGTATGGGTACAATAATGTCCGCGCTTTTAAAAAAGAACCTTTTGGAGAATACAGTGATCGTTTTTGTGAGCGATAACGGAGCGCCTTCAATTGGTGTAAGTCACAATTGGGGCTCAAACTTTCCCCTACGCGGGATAAAATCCACACTATTTGAAGGCGGTATTCGAAGCGTGGCTTTTGCCTGGAGCCCCTTGTTTGTGCAGACCGGCCGCGTGTCTTTGGAACTGATGCACGTGACGGACTGGCTGCCGACCATCTTCACCGCCGCCGGCGGCGATCTCGGACTCTTGGAGCCTGATCTCGACGGCGTCGATCAGTGGAGCAGTCTGCAATACGATCTGCCTTCACCCAGAGACGATATTCTCATTAATATCGATGAAATCACACGGAACGCTGCGCTTAGGTTTAATAATTGGAAACTTATTGTTGGTACGTCAACTAAATCTTTCTAAATTAAAGAAAAACTTGAAAAAATTAAAAATTACAAAATTAGAATTTTTTTCAAATTTTTCAAAATTTTTTCAAAATTTTTCAAAATTTTTTTTTTCAAAATTTTTCAAAATTTTTTTAATTTTTCAAAATTTTTCAAAATTTTTTAAATTTTTAAGCAAATTTAAATTAAATTTTTTTAATTAGGAACAACTAGCAATGGAAATTTTGATTCGTACTTCGGTGATTCCGGTAAAACTAACATAGAAGAACAAAGTTACAATACATCCGCAGTAGCTGACAGTCCAGCTGGTCAAGCAATCAAACAAGTGACCTACACACCGTTATCAGAAAACGAATACATTTCCTCGCGCCGACAGGCGACTTTGAAGTGCCTCAATCCGAAAGCAAAGCGGACACCCTGCACGCCGTCCAGTAAGTGCCCTAAAACTACCAAATCCACACATTTTCATTCATAATATGCACAGAATATTCACGTGTGCACAAAAACTTCAAATTCAAGGTTCTGCGCCTGAGTGTATGAATACTAATTGGTAATTTTCGCGTTTCGCAGACGGTGAGGTGTGCCTCTTTGACATTCGCATCGATCCATGCGAGGAAAACAATCTGGCGACGTTCCTGCCGTCCGTGGTGCGTCGGATGAAACGCGCGATGGTGGATTACCGAGCAGGACTGGTGCCGCAGCAGGCGCGCACGGTGGACATCGAGAAGGCTGCGCCGGAACTTTTCCAATTCACATGGAACCCCTGGCTGGATTGTGGCGATGCGGAATGCAAAGCCTAATTGAATATTTATTTAAATTTTTTACCAGTCGTAAGTTTTGCCACGCCAACTAATCGAAGCGAATCGCGAGCGAAAATTTCCAAATATTCTCATAAATATTTATTTACGTTTTGTACCATATATTAATATTCTGTATGTTTTGTGTGTAAGTTTTGTTTAAAATGTTTTTACGTTTTTTGTTTTGGATTAATTCTAGGAATAGAATAAAAGTTGAATTTTAGGTTTTCAGAGTGCAAGTTTATTTTTCAGTCAATTTTCGTTGTTATTAAATGAAATATCCAAAGGTTAAGGTGTGGAAGAGGTAACTGAAAATGCCAACTACTAAACGCACCACGGTGAATAAGCTGTCTCCCAAGGAATATAATATTGTCCAGCCAATTGATGTTTCCGATCCGGTTTCTGAAGCTTCTTCACAGAAGACGACGTGGAGCATAAATGCCAACAAAACAATGACCAGCAAAGTAGACTAATAAAATATTATTAAATATTAATATTATATTAAATTAAATATAAATTTTAACACTACATACCTTCATTTTTATTTTTGGGGAATAAGAAGCAGTTAACTTGTAGTTTAGTAAAGTTAAACTTGAATTACTATCAAATCGAAAATTTAGCTATTTATATAAAATACGAATGCATTAAATGATTGAATTTTACATTATTTACTTGATGAATATTGTTGTATAATGTTTATGTTGATAACACACTTATTTTTCAAAATTAGCAATGTAAATTTCAGTTCCCCGACAGTGTCTAACCCAAATTTGTATAAAATACGCATATAAATAGTGCGAAACTTTGACAAACATAGCCACGACACCAAACAACCGCTTCCAAAATGAAGGTAAATTCAAAAATTAATTAGTTTGAGTAATAAATAAATTTTTAAAACATGTTTAATGCATTTTGATAAAAACTTGTGAACTGATAATCGTTTTAATATAATTTAATTTATTTCAGGTTATTTTTCTATGCGTTGTTGCTGTGTATTTGTTTATCAACGCTGTCTGTGCAAGTCCTACAAATGGTTTTCAATCAGAAACTTCTTGGGAATTTTTGAGCCTGAAGATACTGAATTGAGTAGTGATAATAATAAAAGTGATGAAAATCAAGGTAAAATAAAAAGAATTATAGGTTATGTGTCTGATATAATTAAATTGTTACAGGTGAAGATTTGGAAGCTTCTGAGTGGATACCTCAAGAATCATGGACTCCAGTTTTAAGCAGAAGCAGAAGAAATCCGTATTACCTTCTGTTTAAAAAACTCTCCCATCTCAAAGGCCTGCTATTCAAAGGTTTCAATTTTCATTCATTCTCTTTCTTCCCTTTTTTCTCTTTCTTCCCTTCATTTTATTATTATCCTTCATTCTTTAACTTCCGTCCATTTTTTTCTATCCTAGTTTCTTTTATTTTCAATCAAGTTTCTTTTTTGGTTGATTTCAAATTTTGATTTCAATATTCTAATCATATATGGCAAAACCGTTATTATAACCTAGATTGATAGTGTTTTTGTTACTTTTGTAAGCTGGCAATTTATCCTTTTTATTTAAACAAATATTGGTGATGTTTTAAGATTCGATTAGATCCAACATTGAACCTTGACGGCGGCATTCGATTGTCTTCCGTTTTACCTTAAACTTTAAACTTTCGGCTTCAGCAAACAACTGAATTCGAGCGCTCTCGAAAACTAGGAAGAGTCGCGACGGTGGATGTTAAAGGATTTGAATAAAGCTGACGCGAATAACTCGAGCACCATTCACTCACTGTTCGTCGTCTTCTTACGTTTCCTTTTTTCCCTGTTCTTTTGCGCTGCAAATCGACAGGCATTCGCGTGTCATTTGGTTTTATTTCGAAATATTCACTTTGCATTTAACACCAGCTTTTTATAAAATTTTAGAAAGAAATTTTTGTTTTTAAACACTCTGTATGAAGATATGTTCGGCTTAAAAGGTATCTCATGCATTTGTAGCAAAGTGAAGAATCTTTTTATTCTTTTATTGAAATTTCTCTTCCTGTGAAGTAAAAAACGACTTTTAAAAGCGGAGGAGTAAAAGATAAGAAACGCTAAATGTAGACGTAAAAGTCGGTTGTAGGAGGACAAGTGGAGGTACCGAAAGAGTTGAAATAAAAGTAGCATTACCATGTCAAACATGCTTTTTCAATTTGGCAAATTTTCAGACGTCAAGAATTTTTTTCTCTTTGACGTCCCAATCGATTTTTTCCTGTAATTATCTTATGATGTGGATAGATGGTGAACAAATTGCAGCGTATCTGGATTTATTACAGATTAGAGCAACGTCTGATTGATTAAGCATGAAGCACGTATACTTTATTGAAGTTTAAAAGAGTTTACTCATAAAAAGCGTAATAAATCATGTGATATTTAGAATTAGAAAATAAATTGATACCAATATTAAAAAATCGGAAGAAAGTGATTAATAACACAAAAGAAAAAAATTGAAAAGCTTCTTATGATCAAGAAATAAAATTGGGTTAACTCCTTCTAAGTTTAAAGATTTTTTATTTATTTATTTTGCTAATAAAATTAAATTGCAGAATTTAAGCAGTTAGGTGACGTATTTATGTATTTCCTAGCTTTAACCCTTGGCTTCGCTTGTGAATATCTAAAATAATGAAGTTGCTTCCGTACGCGTCTGTAGTCACAGAAGAAGTAACAATGAAGTAGAATGGCGGGAAGTTTAAAATGGCTGAAAGTATAGTCTATGGAAGTATAGTGTACAGTCTCCATAGTGTAGTCAATTGGATTTGATGTTGACGTAGCTGTCGGTAATACAGTGTGATAATACAGTGTGATGGTACTATAGTACTTAGGTTTGAGCTTCATTGCTGGAATGCTAGATGGCGTTAAAGTAGTCAAATAGCCAGATGCAGAGGTATTATTGGCTAAACAATTTCTTTATTTTATTTTAAAAAAAAAATTTTTTATTAAATAAAAAGTAGCCTATAACCATTCGGAGACCACTAAGAATATGTGTACAAATTTTCATGATGATCGGTTAAGTAGTTTTTGCGTGAAAGTGTAACAAACATCAGGACATTCGCATTTATAATATTAGTAGGGATGATATAGTAGATTCAAAAATATGTAATTTTATTGAATTGTTGTTTACAGTTTTCTTTTTTCACTTCGTTAACTCTTGAAGCCGTATAAAGTTCCAAATGTAAACTTGGCCCGAACAAAATATTTCTAGATGAGCGAACGCTGACAATACACACAATAGTTGAATTGTGAGCCGTGACTTTTGCTAGCAACTATATGCAAATAAAGAAACATTGATTTATTCAATCCTACTCGAAGTTCGTTAGAAGTTAAGCTGGTTGCACATTGACAAAAAGCAAAATACGAAATATATTCTATTTTGAATTCATCTCAGTGAGATATATTTGATGATACATAATATATTATTATTCCAATATTCTCATTTTGGCAATTATGTAATTTGATTCTGTTTAGATGTCGACTTAGTTTCCATTATTTCGTTACGCTGACTAGGTCCAGATAGGTACTCGTACTCCAGATGTAGATAGTTCCCGGAGTCTTCAATAATTGTTCTTGCGTCTGCTTTTCTTGCTCGCCTCCCTTGTCTTTGCGTTTTCGAGCGTCGTGTGCGCAAACTGTGAGTAATATAATTCCAGGTACAAGCGTGCGGTATGTAGGCAAGCACGAAAGCTCAGAAGCAAAACCAAAACCAAAAGCAGAAGTGACGGCAAGAATCGCTAAATTCTGGCGCACCGCTTGCGGTTTTACGAGTCGAAAATTTCGCTTTCTGCGATTTCCATCCCCGAACTTTGTCTCTTCGCGCGTGACGAGACGAACGAGACGCTTCCAACAAATATGAGTAATATGCTCTGGCGCGAATCGACCGTGGGCTGTAATCATGTGGGATGTAAACTGATTCATTTCAGAACTACATGAAATTTAATCAATAATTAGTTATTAAGCTCAAACAAAAATAAAAAATTGCAAAAATTGAATTTTTCAAGTAAATAAAAATAAATTACTGGGGTTTTGCATATTTATTGAGTAATAAACTTTAAAAAATCTAAATTTTTAATTTTTTTTATTAGTTTTTTAAAAAATTGGCGTTTTTAACCCAAAAACGTCTTTTTTCTATTTCCTTCATTGAAATTCATTCATTAATAACTTAAAAATTGAATTGCAAAGTACGGTTATTCATATTACACTAAATAAATCATCAAACTTATAAAGTTTTTGAAAATCTCGTATATATTTCGGCTGCAGAGTCAAACAGTATAAAACTCATATGAATAATGCTTCGCGGAAATCATGACATCAATGTGGGTGCATTTTGGTGGATGTTGAATGAATCACAGGTCCGATGTGATGAAGGGATGCAAGGATGCAGGAGTACAGAGGGCGCGTGTACGCGCGTCGCGACGCCGCAGCTCGTGGCACTCGCGGCTCGCGAACTGTGAAAGCTCTCCGAAGAGAGCGATAAATCTGTCGCACGCCTCCCGCATCACGTCAGTAACGTGTCGCGATCGGTCTTTCACGAACCACGACAAACGCCACCAGAAAAAAACTAAAAACATAAAAAAAAGTTTATTAAAAGTTTTGTGTAATAAACTATAAACAGTAATGTTTTAATTGATAAAAAGTTAATTAAGTTTGGGTGAGTGGTCTCTACTAATTTATTATAAATAAATTAATTAACAGAAGAATTGTTTTAACGTAAGGTTTAGTTTGTTGTTTATATTCACAGTTCATTTAACTCTCTTCAATTAATTTCACTTTATTCCGAATTTAACTGATTGTTATTTTCTTACTCGCATTCTTGGCGTTAATCAACACGAAACTAGTAGAAAACCTGTGCAAAACTTATTGTAAGGGTTAAAAACTTAAATTAAGTTTACGTCACGTCACTTGCAGTCGCAAATGATAAATTGTCGTTATTCTAAGGGTTCCTCAAAAATTTCTGTATTGTGATAAAGTTGAAAACTTTTTTTTAAATAATTTATTTTGAATGACATAATTAATTGATGCATTTAATTAATTATGCTAATATTATAGGTATAAACCTGAGCTAATGGAATACAATTTATGATTGCCAGATTGATAGATACCACTATGAACTTTGAATTTAACATATCATATCATAGATTACATCATAAAACTGTAATTTAAATCAAATTAATGCAATAGTATTTTTTACATTGTCCCATGAAAGAAAAATTAAATGTGCAACGCATTTTCCTAACTCCCACTGCGTTTTCATGGTCAATTAAACTGTTGTTAAATCCGCGTACTCGGCGTAAACGCCGTAATGCGTGAGTAATGTGGATCATGTGAATTACGAGTACGTGAGTTTAGTGAAAAGATTGCAATGTTGCGAAATTTACGGCGTTACAATGATGCTCAACGTGCAACGCGCTGTAATTTAAAGAAGTGTAAATAATTTCATAATTTTATATGAGAAAACAATTGGTTTAGAAATTATCACGTTTTATGTTTGCATATTCCCGCTGGAAATAAATAGAATCTCGCTAAAAAAGAAAATAGACATCCTTATAGCAATTTGATCTATAATTAAATCAGAAGTGCACATTTTATGTTTCTAGCGATTATTTTTTCTGCTCGAACATAAATAAAATGCTTATTTCCTAAGTTTTCTTCCGTCTTTATGTCATTCCTTCGCTTGTTCGTCTTATTTATGTGGCCGTATTCATATATTTCAGTAAACTTTATCAGTGTCTGACCTAGACCGATGGAAATAATCAACTTTTTCTATTTTACTATTTCGCGCACGTTGTCCACTGATTTTTAGGTTGTGGCGCAGATTTATCACCTCAATCAAGTTTTAGTTCCTTATTAATTAGATGAATAAATTGGTCATCAAATTATTACTTTTTCTTTGATGAATTATATAATATACTAGCTGTTGCCCGCGACTTCGTTCCGGCAGTGTTTAATAAAAATGTAATTCGTTTTTACTCTCTTGTTCGAGACATACTCGTAGTAAGAGTCAATTCTATCAATAAGATTAGCAATTTTAATTTAAAGAAATTAATTATATAAAGTTTTGTCAATAATGCACTTCAGCGCGCCATCTCGAATTCAACTATTTAACTATAACTATGATTGAATCCCAATGTCAAATTTTATTCTATTGAAAAGAGCTGTTTTGAGGATTTTCCCGGCAATTATTCGAATTTTTCTCACCTTTTAAACCTTCCCTAGACCTCCACGAATAATTCAAGACCAAGATAAGATAAATCCGTTCAGCCGTTCTCGAGTTTTAGCGAGACTAACGAACAGCAAATCATTTTTATATATAATATATAGATATATAAATATTCAAATTTTAATTTAATAATAAATTAATCTTATTGTTTGTTTAGCAATTACTGTCAATTTATCAAAATTGCGATAACGATCAATTAATTAACCATCGGCACTACAACGAGGACGTGTGAACTGTGAAGTACATCACAAATTATTGCGTAAAACACACACAAACAGATATAATTTTAATCAACTTAAAATTAAATCAATCAACGTCTAAAAATACTTTTACTACGATCTATTATATAAATTTTAGAATTGGTTTTTATATTCCTATTGAGCAAAAAATAAATAAAACCTTTTTTAGATTTTTATTTATTTCACATAAGCGTAAGTTATAATTTGTTGGTGTCAAGAATATCAAAAAGGAAATGAAAAACGTGTAAACATATACAAATCCGCTTGTCATCCGAAACATGCTCCTGAGTTAAACCTTTAACAATCGCATAAATGCAAATTTACATAATATTTTAGCCTTCTGATGAGTTTTGTAAATTAACAGAAGTAGGGCCGTTTTCACTCAGTTTTCCCCAGCCTGATGCATAACCATAAGCATTTACAGGTGTCTCTTCTTCAAATCTTGGTAAATCTATTTTTTTGACTTTTGTATTGAAGTTTAAGTCATCATTTAGTTCCATTATGGCAATATCTTTACTTTGTGTGGATCGGTCATATTCTGGATGTACGTGAACGCTGACAATACCTTTCGCCATAGAAGGATTAATTTCGTTGAGTTTTGTCATACCAACAAAGACTAGGAATCCTTCAGTTGTAATATCATGGCTGTATAGGTATTTTTAAGATATTTAAAAAATGAAGAAATGTTTTTAAAAATATTTACTCATTAAAGCAATGTGCAGCTGTCACTATAAATTTTTCGCTAATGATGGAACCTCCACACCATATGGATGTAGCATTACCAACAGCAATTTGATAGGGTACTTGAGTGATGTCTATTGGACTGCCTCCAACAATGCGTTGTTGTGGTGGAGCACCTTAAGAGAAAACAAAACATAAAAATTAAATATATTCGAGAATATTTAATATTTTCTCACAGAAAATCACTCCGAAAAGGCAGAAAATCACCACTAGGTTAAACATTGTTTCAGTTATATGACACCACAACTAATTGCGATAAAATTTATTACTGAATTTATTATATATCTTATCTCTATATTATGAAAGCAGTGGGAAATCTAAGTTGTTGTAAAGTACCATTAAACACAGATTATGATTTAAAATGAATCATAGTAGTATTAAGTCCAAATTATTTATTAACAATTAAAATCAAAAACATTTACAATCCGGTGATTTCAGTAATGTAATCACGAAGATTGATAACATGAGCATATACACCAGGGAAACCAGGAGTAGCGCATCCACGTCCAAAGGAAGTAATACCGTAGATCACGTTGTTGTAGACCAATGGGCCACCAGAGTCACCCTGTAAAACAAAAACAAAAAAGTTATAAAAATTAACCAAAATGATTTTTAAGATTTTATTATTTACCTGGCAGGTATCAACTGAACCATCAAGAGCACCAGCACACTGCATGTTATCAGCATCAAAGTTGCTATAACCTGAACACTTATCAGCAGCTAACAGTTGAATTTCAACACCCTGTAACTGAGTAGCAGACTCTCCATTCTCGGAAAGCTTACCCCAACCAGAAGCATACGCATAACTACCAACAGGGACCTTATCACTACCACTGGGTAGATTCACCGGTTGGATTTTATCGTTGAAAACCAACGCGCTTTGCAGTTCGAGAATAGCAATGTCAACATTATGCGTCTGCTGGTTGTAATCGCTGTTGATGTTCACTTTCTTGACTGGCTTGAGCATGGAGCTTGTGATGGCGGTCAGCTTGGTCATACCAACGAAAACCATGAAGGATTCAGTGTTGACATCATGACTGTCAATTAATAGGAAAATATTTACGTATAGAGTAAAATTTTAATGTTGATGCACGACTTACTCATTGAAGCAGTGAGCAGCAGTCAAGATAAAACGATCACTGATGATGGAACCACCGCACCAGATGGAACCACTGTTACCAACGGCTACCTGGTAGGGCACCTCGGTGATATCGATGGGTTCGCCATTTACAATACGATGGTTCTGAGAAGGCGCCGCTAAAAATATTTTTTAAAGTTAGGTTAAGTTAGGTTATGTTAGGTTATGTCAAGTGAGGTTAAACTTACCTAGGGCAACAGCCAAGAGGCAGGATACAAGCACAAGTTTGAACATTATTACTAAATCAATTCACAATAACTATTTTCCCAGATGCATTGATTCACGTTTTATATCATTTGTTATCATTTCTTAATCAAGATAACAACATTTTTTTAAACATAAGAGTCTGATTATAAAAACTAAGCCGTCAAGTGTTTGATTGTCTTTCTGTTTATCATATTCATGAATCAAGTATTTTATTTACGAATTTTTGGATAATATGTTTACGCAACGTGATAAACAGCGACTTTTAAACGTTTTCATTTATTTTTCCACTTTAAGTATATAATATCATTAATTAATCTCCTCTAGCAACACTCTGACATACTATTCTTTGTCATTTGTCATTTCATTCCGGAGTCTTACTTCTGTTGGTGATGTATCAGGTTGATAAAGATAACAACAACTTAAAAGATGGGAGAAACCCGTTAAAGTGTCGAGGATTAAAAGATGGACGTGAACAAAGTGGTCGTTGGGTCTCGTACACTTCGCCATCGGCATCAGGATCAGGATCGATCCGAAAGCAGAAATAGAAAAACGCTAGCGAGTTCGTGGGCAAACAATCAAAAGAGTGATAAGTGCGAAATGAAAGCAAAGAAAACATCGACAGGAAACGCGACATCGGAAAGTGACTAATATCGTATATTAATGCTTTTTTCTGACGGATTTTTGCGTAACTCAGAAAATGGCTGTTTACTTGGCCTCGAATCAACTCCTTTTCGTCTATTACTCAAGTTTGATAAGTTTAATTAAAGTGTTTATGAGTTTACCGAAATTCCATGTTGTTTTTTTAAGCACCTATCTCGGTAAATTTAAATTAAAATTACACAAGCACTTGAAAAGTTTGAGGCTTGATTTAATCTATTCACGAGTCTAATTAAAGAGTCTAAAGTTTAAAATAAGAATTGGGCTGAGATATAAATAGATATGTTCCTAACTAGTTTTGTTTTATCTTAAAATTCTATATTTTTCATTTTTAAGGCACAAAAAGCACTTTAAGCACTGTACTTTAAACACAGACGGCCAAAGTGGTGACTAAAGTACTTTAGTGACGAGTTTTAGTCACGGAGTAATGTTTACGCCTGCGCATCAGCGCATTTTAATACTAAAATTAAAAAAACAATTTCCATTCAAAACTTCACGGTAGGCCACACACTATACAAGTATTCAAAAAACAATTAATCGTGCTTCTTCAAGCAGCTAAATGAGCATCCTTTCATAAAATATTTAATTATAACATCAAATACCAAGCAGTCAACGCAAAAGAAGAAACGTGAAACATTTTCCAAGAAATGAAAAGCAAATATTTCTAAAGAACAGTTTTAAATGAAGCAATTAACGTTACAATTTCAACTAAATCTAGCATGAAAAAGATTGATTTCTTAGGAGATATGAGCATAATTTCCAATAATTTCTACGTCTTCAGTTTTATTAGATACTCGTCTTTTGCATAGTAATAAAATTTAATTTTTGCCTTTATTATTCGTACAAATGCTACGGGAATACAGCGAGCGCAACAGGTGGTCGCGCAGGCTTTGCATCTTTCGCGAGGATAATTGCCCCTCATCGCTGGATTTTAATAATCCTTCCGCATGCTTGCCTTTCCGTTATTAAAACTTATTACCTCACGCGCGGAAATTGAATTTCCTTTCCAAATCTAGTCGTCCTAATTGCGCATTGTCGTCAAGGTTATTCATATACTTAATGATTGTTTAGTTTACTGTCAGAGTTGTTACAAATTAAATTTTTGGGAATGAGTGCTAATTTTCAACGCGTTTGTTTAAAGTCGATATTTATGTAGTAAGATGAATCCAAAAAGGACGCCGTATTTGTTTGGGCCTGTTATGGCCGCCATTTTTCGTCTTGAAGACCAAGGTTTTCGTTTAAGTGATATTAGAGTTCTGCGCGAGGTAAGCCGTGGACTGAAGAAACAGTGCAAACGCGAACCGCCGAATCTTAAAATGCGCGTTGCTCAAGCGCTTAATTATGGTATAAAAGGTGGGGTATTGCTTAAGACGTCAGGGCGTATGCGTATGACGGTTGGACCGAAAGCACTTAAGCGATTAGAATTAAATAGACCTCAAGTAGTTCCTTCGCGTCGGAAGAAAAAACTACCAAGAAGAAGCAATGCAAATCGGTTAAATCTAAACGAGAAAAACCGAAAAACGTGAAAAAATCATGGAAATCATATTTTTCATTTGCCACCAAGAAAATTACTGGAGATCCAAATAAAAAAAAGTGTGCGTGTAAAAGAAAAAATACAGAAAAAGCAGAAAAAGAAGAAAAGAAAGATACAAAACAGTCACAGACAAAACAAGATTCAAAAACAGATGTTAAAAATAAAGATACATGCAAGCAAGATGATCATAAGCAATCTGATCATGAAAAATCTAAATCTCAACTTGAAAAACCCACTGATGAAGTGGTATTACCACCACAGCGTTCAAGAAGTCGCCGCCATTTGAGTAGGAAGAAGAGTAGCGCTGTCAAAACTGGCGTGCTTAGTGGACGAGTGTCAAAAACAGTACATCCACGTAAAAGTAAAAGTACACATCGTAATCAAAACACATCATCAACCATAGAAGTCGGAGACGAAGAATCTCCCGATGATAAAACTGTTGTATTGGATAATTTCCATAACGGTAGGAAAAAAAATTGTTTTGTTAAAATGACATTCACTTTATGCAACCATATGTACATTCAAATGAAAATAATTAAAACTTAGTCAATATTATTTAACACTAATAATTTTTAGGGAACCACCAAGATCCTCCCGTGGTTAAAAACACTGATAACACTGATAATCGACGTAGCAAACGCGAAACGAAGGGCAAATCAAAAACACGAAATTACATAAATTGAAATTATTAAAAAATTATATTCAAATGTATAAATTTCATGTTTAAATAATATGTTTCCAAATATTTTTTGTTTTTACTTTCTTATCAAGTCTAATCTAGTCTTGTGAGTCTTTTGTTCAAGGAAATGACTAAATCCGTATTTGAATAGCAGCACGTAAGTTAGATTCACGTCCGCACACATGACCATTCGCAAGCAATTTCGCCCGATGAAATTGATCCGCAGATCTCTCGTTTCCCGTAATTACTGGGCTTGGTTGTGTTTTGGGGTTGACATGCACATGGAGATTGCAGCTCCGCCGCGCGCCCGAAATCGCAGAGAAAATCTGGGAGTTCAGCAGACATTGAAATTAATAGAAACCGGACTCAAGTCTAGATTTACATCTACGAGTAGATACTGTACGAGTACTGTACATTTAATAAAGGGCTGGTTAATAATATTATTTTGTGTCGTATTACATGAGTAGGAGATAATTATTTCTTTTAATGGGTTGCATATGAAATTATTTGAATGCTGTTTTATTTGTGAAGTGATAAAGGGATCAGAGTTAATTGCTTTGTATGCTGCCAGTTCGAATTTACTCGTACAGGATAATTGGATTTACAGCGATTAGACGCAAGCAAACAGCATCAGGATGATATTGATTCATTCGATATGATATTACATTATACATCATTAAAATTATTGCGGAAAACGCAATACATCCTGACAAGTAAATTGCAATTTTAATGAAAAATTAATTTTGATTGTTTTTTGCTTAAAATTGTGGTAAATAAGAAAAAAATTGATAATTATTATTAAAATTTATCATTACAAAACTGCTGTTTTATTTTCTCGTTAAGGCCCGCCGGCCGTCATCGAGGTAGATATTGTGGTGCGCAGTATGGGACCAATCTCCGAAGTTGACATGGTAAGTTTTCACTTATCCCTTAAATCCTCAAACCATTTCAACGCTAAAGCTTCCTATTGACTTAAATCGGCAAAAAGTAAAGAAATAAATATCAATTCCTGATACAGAAGTAAACATGTAGAAATTATTTGATTTTTTTACAAAATGCGTTTTAGTGATCAAATTTCAACCCTTAAAATTTTTATCTTCTTTTTTATTATTTTTTGCAGACATATTCGATGGATTGCTACTTTCGTCAGTCATGGGTAGACCGTCGTCTGGCCTTCCCCGGTGATGAGAAAGACACCCTCGCTCTAAGCATTTCCATGCTTGCGAAAATCTGGAAACCCGACACATATTTTTACAATGGAAAACAAAGTTATCTGCACACAATAACAACCCCAACAAATTTGTGCGATTGTTTAAAAATGGACGTGTTCTATATTCATCTCGGTAATAATTAATAAATAATTTAAATCAATACATTATTAGAATAATTTAAAGATATTAAACGAATGTATGCACTCGGTTTTAATTATTACGGTGCTTTCAAGCATAAAAATAATTAAAGCAAAACCATTGACGTCAACCCGAGTAAATAATTAAACGGTGTGCACTGGGGACGTTTTAATTTTTCATTGCGTCTATTTAATATGAGTTGATAAATTATAAGAAAAAACACAGACGGTGAAATACTAGAATATTTGTTTATCATACATTTTATCTGTTTGCTTGTTGTTATCGAAATTTATCATCCAAAGTGACGTAGAGTAATCAAGTTGGAGGAAAAATGTGAGTTGTGAAATATTAGAAATGCGGGGATATAAATGGTTGCCTAGATGTTTCACTATCATCAAAAAAATTGATATGAAGATAAAGAATACTGCTTCCATCAAAAACAGTAAAAAATACAATTTTTGATGATTTGATATTTTTATACGAACACGTAACTTATTCAGTTATCATTTTTTTATTATTCAGGTTGACATGGACCTTTGCAAACTGAAAAATCAATTTGCATTCGAATAATTGATTTATTTTCTCATAAAATACATTTTTAAAGCAATTAAACAGTTTAATTTTGATTTTTTAATTTCTTTGTCGATTTATGATGAAAATAATCCATTTTATTAATGAATCATTTCAATTTTCAAAATATATCTTGGTATAAATGAAAATTACAGAAACATAACGTTGAAATGATGGTTGATATTGAGACCATTGTTCTCGGCACCTAGTGTTGTTTCGATTGAACGCTTTCGTGCGTCCTGCACTCCCGAAATGATTCAGATGGGAATTCTGGCGTTAGGGGACCGTTTTGGAACAAGTGATTCCACTTCAGGCACACACAAGCCTTCCCGGTTATTTTATAAAACCAGGTGGAAATTGACTATGCCCCGTTTACATTCAATTTATTTAGTTACACAGAATAAAAAGTTAAAAACATATTTGTTTCAGATTAACAATAAAAGCTGGTTGTCCTATGAATCTCGAGGATTTCCCGATGGATATTCAACGATGTCCATTAAAATTTGGTTCGTGTAAGTATGGAAAAAATTAGCTTAAAGAAAAGGTGCGTAAAAATTGAGTAAATCCAATAATATCCAATGCGTTTCCAGTCGGCTACACGTCGCGCGACGTCCTCTACAAATGGAATTCGGCGCGACAGGTGGCTATCGCTGAAGACATGAAATTGTCCCAATTCGATCTCATTGCTACTCCGGCCGGCAATCACACCGACACCATTGTCAACAATGACGATCGGAAACCCGGGCAACGATCCACCAACACTTATATAAGTAAGTATTAAAATTAAGTTCAAATATCTATATGTATATAAAAATGAATTGCTGTTCGTTAGTCTCGCTAAAACTCGAGAACGGCTGAACGGATTTATCTTATCTTGGTCTTGCATTATTCGTGGAGGTCTAGGGAAGGTTTAAAAGGTGAGAAAAATTCGAATAATTGCCGGGAAAATCCACAAAACAGCTCTTTTCTATAGAATAAAATTTGACATTGAGATTCAATCATAGTTATAGTTAAATAGTTGAATTCGAGATGGCGCGCTGAAGTGCATTATTGACAAAACTTTATATAATTAATTTCTTTAAATTAAAATTGCTAATCTTATTGATAGAATTGACTCTTACAACGAGTATGTCTAGAACAAGAGAGTAAAAACGAATTAGATTTTTATTAAACACTGCTGGAACGAAGTCGCGGGCAACAGCTAGTCTACAATAAAATATTATACATTAAGTATCATGCACAATTATTAAACATCAAATATAAATTTATATATAGACACAGTAGTAGCAATGACAGGATTTTCAAAGAGTCTAACATTATGTGACATTTGAATTTCTATGAATCCGCATGGACCGAGCAAATATTTGATTTATTCCGAATTATACGCATATATCCAATACCCAAGCCAAGGCAGAAGCCAATAAATATACCTTTGATACAAAACTATTTTGTACACACTGTGTGTTTCCGAAAACACAAAATTAAATGATTTTTTGTCAATTTATTAACAAATAATGAAATTTTACTACTTTTTCCTTTTACTTTCTTTTAAATTCAATTTTAAAGATCTCTATAAGAAAAGAAAGCATTTTCAATGCATATAATTGCACAGAATAACTCCTCCTCCACAAATATCTAATATTACCAACAGTTGAAGATGCCGCATTTTGTACACGTCCATCCATTCAAGCATCTGGTAAATTTTATACCGTTATATCGCTCGCAGCTCGAAATGAAGTCCAGATATGTCCCACGAGACGTGTATTTGAATTGCAACGCTCAATAGGGTAATAAATGATAGTGCATTTCATTTTACAATGGAAATTTCAACTGAAATCCAACAAATCTTCAATGACCTCAATAAATCTGTTGATAGAATTTTTTAACATGAAACTCAGCAGCAAACGAGATATTTCTAATCGTTTAATAGCAATTTCAGTTATTTTTAATTGTGCTATTGTTGCTATTATAAGTTATATTTTATAACAAGTTATTATTCATATAACAACAACGCTCACAACATATTATTTATTGATTGTAAGCATCGGCTCGTTGGTCTAGGGGTATGATTTTCGCTTAGGGTGCGAGAGGTCCCGGGTTCAAATCCCGGACGAGCCCACGATTTTTTTACGTTAATAATTAAATTATTGTTTATATTATTTCCAGCGGAGTATTCCATGTTGCTCGTAAGTTTCCATTTGCAACGCCATATGGGTAACTTCCTGATTCAAGTCTACGGGCCATGTGTTCTGCTTGTCGTGCTGTCGTGGGTCTCCTTTTGGTTGAATCGGGAAGCTACAGCCGACAGAGTATCGCTTGGTATGCGTGTAAAGATTTATAAATAAACTATTAACGATATTTATAATTTTAGGTATAACTACCGTGTTAACAATGACATTTTTAGGCCTTGAGGCAAGGACAGATTTGCCTAAAGTACCTTATCCCACCGCATTAGACTTCTTTGTGTTTTTATCATTCGGATTTATATTTGCTACGATTATTCAGGTATTTATGCGGTTAAAAAACCTCCAGAGATACATAGAAACAAGAAATATCCAATATTTGCCACTGGCTTCTATTTTTTGGAGATAAATAACCAATATTCTTATATTTTATAACCTGCAGTATGCTAAATGTTTAAATATGTCTGTTTTAGTTTGCAGTAGTTCATTATTTTACAAAATACGGTTCAGGCGAGTGTTACTTCAGCTCGGATCTTGAAGATTCCAGTAGTGACGAAGACGACTGGAAACCGATAGAAAAAAGATTTTCGGATCCTAAAGATATAAACGTAAATCAAAAAATAACATATTTCCATGCAAATTTCTATTTTTAATTTTTCTAATTATATTCAGGGTGCAAATCGTCGAAAGTCATCCGAATCAAAACGTCCACAACTCCCTTTCCCAGCATACACAGATCCACATTTCGTAGAAGTTATCCCGTTGTCAGCCTGTGCCATTCCAATACCCTCCAGCCGGCGCTCGTCCCAATGCTGGGCAACACTCCCCTGCTTGAAGCCCGCACCGCCTGAAGACCACCACACCGCGACGTACACGCAGCCAACAGTCACCGCCATAAGCGGGCAGCGATTATCCTTCCAGGCGTCGATGCGGCATCGACCTCACCGAAGGAGACGCACGCCACGATTCAACTCTGTGTCGAAAATCGACCGCGCATCACGCGTGGTCTTTCCACTGTTGTTCTTAACAATAAATTTATTTTATTGGTATTCGTATTTGTCACGAACGGAGAGGATTCAACCATTGAAACATTAGAAGCAATATGAGAATATGATATGAGATAGAATGAGGTGCTTTTTGGGTTTGTTTCGATTTTATTAACAAATAGTCAGTTTTTCTTGTAGACTCACATAACAAACACTCTAATTGCACCCGTGCATGTTGACAACGACATACACACACTCACATATGTAGAAAACGATGTGAACCAAGTTGTTATTTGAACAGAAAGCTGTAAAATATTTAATTGTTAAACAAAAGAACATAATTGTAAATATATCATCTACCTATAAGGATATCCCTGTGTTTTTGACCTGAAGACTGACAGAATCAATGAGAAAAATACCGAAACCAAGACAAGTCCTGCAATGGCGTAAATCTTCTTCTTTTTGGGATCGCCTCGTTTGCTGGCTGACTCAGTGAGAAGAATCATACCTAGTACAATTGCGGCATCTTAAATTCACATTAAGAAAAGTTGCATACATAATTTTCAACTTCTCAAACTACTAAGATGTAAAAAGGATACTTAAAACCATAACAATGTATGTCTCCAATACAAATTGCCCCTGCGATGATCCGTAAATGTAAGAAACCTGCCCGTTTTGCCCCTTGTGGAAAAATGGCGGACCTCGGATATGATTCCACATTTGACCTGAGACCATCATGAAACAAATGAATAACGCGCCCATCGCCCACATGTTCTTGTTGTAGAGGAACTCCAAGTTGTTGCGCTTCAAATACAGCAGAATCGCGCAGAATGTGAACAGGAAAAGCAGAGCTAATGTTCCAGAATAGTTTGGTGGACGGAATACACGAATCTGGACATCTGTACGTTCTCCAATCCATTTGGCAATTGATTCGGCAGAGAAACCAATCCTTTGGATATCCATGGTGTCTGCATTCTTTGGTTTACCTTTGGCTGGGAAATGGATGAATACTGGTGCAGTATTCAATCTCATCTATGCATTAAATATAAGTTATTAATAAATAATATAATGAAGATGTAATTCTTACCATTTGGAAAACATCAGAACCCTCATCGAAATCAACAACAGCAAAGAACAATTTATTTGAATATGCTTGTGAATATCTGAATGAATTGGCCACAATACCAAACTCATCATTGGCATGTTTACACACACCACATTGACGCTGTGGGGCCATTGCTGTGAACATCACCACAATGGAATAGTTTCTGGGTGCAGTCTTAACATAGTCCTTGAATTTATTTGCATTGAAACGCAGCACAGCACGTTTACTGGACATTTCCGTGAGTTGTTGTACACGCTCGGCCATCGTCATGCCCTGCTGCTGAAGGATTTAAAGAATATTGTAGTGAAGGGTGTAACATAATGAACGAATTTGAAGAGATAAGTAAAACTTACTGTTTTACGTGCTTGTCCATCCGCATGATAGAAAAGTATCGTTGAGGCGACAAGTAGCCCGAAGAGGATTGCTTTCTGCATTTTGGATTTCTTACGTTCTTAGCGTTGTTCTTGATTACGTTTACATAGGAAACCGCTGGCCACTACAAACACTACAGCTCGCAAGCCGGCTTGTGTCAAACAATATCAAAAACGTCAAGTTTACTCGTCAACGTGTCAAGTATAAACTTTGCGTTGTTGTCGTTTTAGGGAGAATCTAATATACACAAATTAATACATAAGTAATATAATAATAAAACAATGTAATAAAAAGACAATTTTTATTTCTAAATTATATTTTACATAGAAACTTGCGTGATGAATAGAATATTTGTAATAAAATAAGCATGACAACAAGGTGTAATAAATGGAGTAACCGATGTAACACGTGCATACGCATGTGCCAATATGTGTGATGTTGGTTGCATACCCTGTGCGCATTTTGTTCAAGTTAGATAATTGACTTGTACTATCAAATTTTTCCTATAAATGGATGACAATACATCCAATAAACATGATAAATTATAACATTAAACACTAGATATACTTCTAAAGTGTGTGTACACGGAAAGTTCCAGTCGCTCGGCAACAAATCAGGTCTGTGTAACCACGTTCATTTACACCGTTGCGGAAGTATAACGATTAATCACGTTGTTAAAAAATGGCGATAAGAACGATGAATAATATTAAAAAAGATAATATTTAAATTCATGAAGTATAATTGACTCAAAATCACACCGTAACAACTTCAGCTAGTTTTTATTAATTTTGCTAAATTGTGTTATTTGATTACGTGTTTCATAGTTAACGTAAAACTCGACACTCGCAACATCATCAAAAATCATAAATTGAAACAAAATGCGCCGCGTGCGTCGTTATCATTCGCATTATCGCAAACCCGTTCATGAACTCATGAAATATGGAAAAATTTGTCCATATTCCATAATTAATTCGCTAGTTAGCACATATTTAGTGTTCAGCGAAAGCGCTGGCCATGCAGACGTCAAGTCTGATAACAACAGCAGGAATCAAACAACAGTTTACAATGGCTTATCTATTTTTCCGCGGCTGCCTGCTGCTCGGCCGCATCGCAAACATGTGCAGCGTGTGGATTTCGCAACAATACGACGTCGAGCTATCCAGCCTATCAATGTTATCCAGTGTTTGGCTTGCTGCGCACAGTTAAGTTAATTCACTCAAATATTAATATCATTAGACCAACAGTGCTGATTCGACTGATTCATAGGAGAATTTAAGCAGCAGTGGAAAAATTTCCTACATATTGTCTTGATAATTTAATCAAGAACACATTAATGTGTTTATACATTTTGTAGCTTGTCGTGATCTTGGATTACAAATAAAAATCACGGACTTTGCAAGTGTGATTCATCGGTCAGTTGCAGTTGTTTCTAACAATCGTAATTAAGTCAAGGTTTTCACATACCTCAAGGTATCATTCACTTCTAATGCATAAAAAGACATAAAAATAATACTGGAATGTTTCAAGCATGCTTAAAACTAATAATAAAAACTAATAGAGTTTAAATTAGCTTACTAAACATTAATTTACTAGATACTGGAAACTAATAATAGATATCTATATTTAATAAATAAACAAAGCACAATTCCTTTTGATTTTGATTTCATTCAACTCCCCAAAAATATCTAAAATGCGCAGCTGCGGGTATATTTACCTATTAACCCAATTAACAATGCGCAAACATAACGCAGTCAACAACTCCTTCCACATGTGTTCGTCTCGACGTCTCCCAACTTGCATTGAAATCCGTGATTCCGAATGAAACGCGTCGCTATCAGCTGGCTGACGAGTGGCTGGCGTTTATCGCGCTGCGAACACAAAAATGTAATACATAGCATGTTATAGTTTTCCAATCTAAGTCGCATCCGAATCGAAAATCATGGAATTCATGACGGCGTCGCAACGGTCGCAACAATTACGAATCGGACGCCGACCCAAGACCATGTAGCTGCCATCAACAAGCGCACACGCGTTTTCGCTTTTTATTCGTTTACTTAGTGTTAATCATTACATTGCTTTAATTAATTATGTCCGCAGTGAATCGCAATTCAGGTAAGTTAAACAATTCCGTAATGATTTGCAAACAAATTATAAAAGAAACAGAATGTAAATCAACAAATAAAAAACAATTGCTGTTTGTGGTGAAAGAGTAAAGTGTTCATGCAATAATAAGTGATAAATGAATTTATTATAACCTGATTTATTCAAGTAATAATGGGTTTTGTTGTAGAGTATGAACCAATTGGAGATCAACATGAGCAAACAATCAAAAATCATTCTCAAGATGATTCTGAACTCATTCTTCGGGTTATACGCAGACAACATGCCAGACTGTGTTCTTTCACATTTTTGGATTTCTTTTTCTGGGCATTCCATATGCGCTGATTACATGGTTTCCCAATCTTGGAACATACAGATACAGACAGTGTTCATTAAGCACTGCCAATCTAGTTTTAGTCAGTGATCACTTTGGCAATGATGTTGTTCTTGAAATTAAGACTGAAAACATTGATCTTCCCAACATGGCGTGCACATTACTGCGCCATTTCACCCACCAGCATACTCAATACATCTGGATTCCATATAAATCAGCTTTTGGGACTTTGGATGAGTTCCTTCCAGAGCTTACACTTGAACAAATACTCAATGAGTCACATGGATTGGATGAGGATGCTGAATTTTAAATTGTAAGTGTTCTGGACCATTTAGTTATAGGCTATGACTTTGAATCCACCAATGCACATTTAATCATCAAAATTTCCTATTTTTTTAAAATAAATCATCAAATTGTGTGCTTGGTTGCAGAATTCAAATGTTTGGAAAGAATAAAATTGAGGTTAAAGTGAAATCCTATTGGCGACTATTTGTCGAAGAGGTTTTCAATCCGTTCTACCTCTTTCAAGCATTTTCGGTTATCTTGTGGTATTTTGACGAGTACAGAATTTATGGAGCTTGTGTTGTAGTCTTGACTACATTTTCAATCGTTACTGCTCTTTATGAGACCAGAAAAGTATTTGTTTTATATCTAATCACACACTTTCAATCATATCTTCAACTGTTTCTATTTCTCAGCAAAGCGAAGCCCTACACGCTTTAGTAGAAGACTCTACCCATACTGGACCAGTGTTAATGCTTCCTCTCTCCAAAGGTGAAACCGAGCGGACTTCTGAAGAGATGAAATACCAGGAACCATTGACCATTGACCCATATGACCTTGTTCCTGGTCATATAATCGTCATACCTCGAACTGGTTGCATAATGCCATGCGATGCTGTGTTGTTAACGGGTAATGTAATTGTAAATGAAAGTATGTTGACCGGGGAAAGCGTCCCCGTGATGAAGACACCTCCTCACGAAACTGATGAGGTGTACTCAGCCACCAAACACAAGGCAACACACGCTACATTCTGCTAATATACGTACGGTAATGATAACCGGTGATAATGTAATGACAGCCATTTGTGTAGCGAGAGAGTGTGGTATGATTGGTATCAATGACGATGTTCTTCTTTTACAATTGCGTGAAGTCGAAGGACAACGCACTCCGGAAATCTACGCTGAGTTTGTAGGCAATACAAACAGTTCCGAAGCACATAGTTCAATCATTAATCTAACTGATGAACACTATAAATTTGCAATGGTAGGAGATACCTGGGCGAAGTTACGACAATACTATCGTAAAGATTTGCCAAGGATACTGTTGAGAGCAACGGTTTTTGCTAGGTTTCAACCTGATCAAAAAACGCAATTGGTTAAAGCACTACAAGGCTTGGATTACATCGTATCAATGGTTGGTGATGGTGCTAATGATTGTGGTGCACTCAAAGCTGCTCATGTTGGCGTATCTCTTTCGCAAGCGGAAGCCAGTGTTGCAGCACCATTCACTTCCGGTATAGAAAACATCTCCTGTTTATACCACCTGATTCTGGAAGGACGATGCGCTCTAGTGACAAGTTTCGCTGTGTTTAAGTACATGGCACTTTACAGCTTGATACAATTCTTCACAATCATCATTCTCTACAAACTCAATTCTATACTGGGCGATCAACAGTTTTTGTTTATTGATTTGATTATCACCACAAGTTTAGCTGTGACCATTGGTAGACAAGGACCGTCGAATGTGTTGGTACCCAAACGTCCAATGGGTAGTTTAATGTCTGGCACGAATCTGGTACCCATGGTGTTGCAGATCTCCACATGCGCCTTTGTTCAATACGCTGCTTTGTATTATCTGTCTACACGCGACTGGTACAAAGCAAATCCAATTGAAAGAGATGAGATTGTTCTGTGTTGGGAGAACACGGTGTTGTTTACTGTAAGTTCATTCCAGTATGTTATCCTGGCTGTGGTTTACTCCAAAGGAGAACCGTATCGAGAGAACGTCATTAGTAATTTTTGGTTGCTGGTGTGTTCGTTGGCATTGACATGTTTCACGACTTATTTGTGTATTTGCCCATCGCTGGACGTTGCGGATTTCTTCGAAGTGATCTACCTGCCTCCGTTGCATGAAAGGCAACAGCATTTGTTTAGGGATACCTTGTTATTCTTTCCGATTGCACATTATGTTATTGCTGTTGCAATAGAGGTAAGGAATGGTAATACATTACCTATAGAAAACCTTAAAAAATTATTTTTCAGAATTTAATAGGTGAAAGCGAATGGTTGAAGAAAATTGTGCATTTTATGACGTGTAAACGTCATCCAAAGAATCGTTATAAAGCACTGGCTGCCGAATCTGCTAATTTTTTCTGCGAGATTGTCGAAAACAATCGCGATCAAACTGTTTGCTGACATATATTTTTTTATTCAACATCTTATCTGTCTACAACTATTAATCACTTACATCTGACCATTTATCCATATACATATATACTAGAGTACGCTTAGTATTAATTAGAAAATAAATTACAAGTTCACCGACGAAATTATTATCGCCACTCTGATAGATTAAGCGAACAAAGTAGCATCCGAAATTGATAAGCAGTACTTGTGTATTGTACGGTATGTATTCAACTAGATTTTGATCCCCTAGTCGCCATTGTGTATGTAGCCATCATGCCTCCAGTGTTCGACGTGGACAAGGTGCTCAAACAGCTTTTGGACGTACGAACGGAAAAAAACAAAAAGGTGAAACTCAGCGATGATGACATCAAGAGTTTGTGCTTCAAAAGTCGTGAGATATTTCTCGCTCAGCCGAATTTGTTGGAGTTGGAATCACCTATTAAAGTCGTAGGTAAGATCAATAAACATATGTAGTCCTATATTATAGGAGTGTTTTAAGTTGGATATTCGTTACTGTTTGAATTAATGAATATAGTTTCTGGGAACGTTGATAAGAATTAATAGAATCGAAAAAATAATTATCTACAAACACGTATTTCCTAGGTTTAACATGTGATTTGCTATGGTCTGATCCTGATAAAAACATTCACGGCTGGGCTGAAAGTGATAGAGGCATCTCTTTCACTTTTGGTGAAGATGTGCTTGCGAAGTTCCTGAAAAAGCACGATTTTGATTTAGTGCTACGCGCACATCAAGTAGATTTACCAATGAAAAACAGGTTCAGTTGATAAGTACTAACATAATCATTTTTCAGGTAGTTGAAGATGGTTATGAGTTTTTTGGAAATCGAAAACTGGTTACACTCTTTTCAGCACCAAATTATTGTGAATTTGATAATGCGGCTGCACTTCTGACGATTGATGAAGAGTTAATGTGCACGTTTCAAGTGAGATCATTTATTTTTATTTATTCAAAATTTCACTCATGTAACACGTACTTGTATGTTGAATTACAGATATTAACAAAAAGAGAAAAAACGAAGTAGACACTATGATAACGAAGACTCTTCGTGCATATTTTCCTTTTGGAAAATGTCGGCATACATCGGAAATGTTTGCGGGGGCGCAGGCTCCTCGGCACGTACCTTCCTTACTCGTTTAGATATAATTCCAAACAGCACCAACCCGCTGGTCCCTAGGATACACAGGCCCACAACGGCGAAGGAAATTTGATCGCCTGTGGATTTTATTATTTGTTATTATTATTAATTGTAAGATTTGTTAGACATTATAATTTATTTACCTAGCGACATGAATCCAGCTGAGCGAATTTCAGTTGCTGGTGTTGATGTTGGTGTAGCTGCAGGTGCTGTACGAGTAGTAACTGGATTTTCGGTATTTGCATTTATTGGAGTATTTCTGGTAGGTACATTTGCTACTGTAGATACAGTAGTAGTTGGAGTACTTGTACTTGTACTTGTTGAAGACCCATCATTTGATCCACCTGAATTGTTGACATCATTATTACCACCATTATTATTATTATTATTATCTGTACCGCTAGGATTATTGCTATTTTCATTATCTGATGGATTAGTAGGATTCGCTGAATCATTATTTCCTGGATTAATTCCTGGCTCGGGCAAATTTCCATCACCTGAATTACCATTAGAATTTGATCCTCCTGAGTTTGTTTCATTCGGATCTGCTGTAGTACCTCCAGCAGAAATTGTACTGGTATTGATAACACCTCCCGTATTAGTATTATTATTTAAGTTGCTTCCATTATCACCGTTATCATTATTTTCATTGGTATTAGTAGAATTGTTGCTAGATCCGTTTGAGTTACCAGTTTCAATATTATTTATATCATCACCGTCACTCCCACCATCCACTGCAGTTTCGTCTGGATCTACTTCTCCATTACCGTTTCCTGATTATTATTTGAATTATTCCCATTTCCAGTAGAAGTGTTTGATTCTCCATCATTACTATTTCCACCTGCAGTATTCCCTGAACCGTTACTATTACCGGGTTCGTTGCCAGGGCCTTGATTTGGGTTACCATTGGATGAACCATCACCATTATTACCGGAATTTCCGTTATTTTCATTAGTATTGTCATTATTATTGTTAGAACCCGTGGTACCACCGTTATTTGGAATTGGAGGTTGATTGGAGCCACCAGTATTGTTATCTTCATTATTATTGGATTGATCACCACCTGGACTGCCATTACCATTGCTTCCCGAATTATTATTTCCCGGGCTAGCACTTCCACCAGATCCTGTTTCTTCATTATTAGTAGAATCACCTCCAGCATTACCAGAATTGTTGTTATCACCATTTCCCGAACCGTTATTATCTCCGCCATTTGTTCCGTTCTCCTGACCTCCACCAGTGTTGCCACTGCTTCCCGAATTATTATTTCCTGGTCCAGCACTTCCACCTGATCCTGTTTCCTCATTATTACTAGAATCACCTCCACCACTACCAGAATTGTTATTACTACCATTTCCCGAACCATTATTATCACCGCCATTTGCTCCGTTCTCCTGACCTCCACCAGTGTTGTCATTGCTTCCAGAATTATTATTTCCAGTACCAGTACTTCCTCCTGATCCTGTTTCCTCATTAGAATCACCTCCACCACTACCAGAATTGGTGTTACTACCATCTCCACCATTTCCCGAACCGTTATTATCACCGCCACTTGCTCCGTTCTCTTGACCACCACCATTGTTGCCACCGGAAGAGCCTCCATCATTCCCAGAATTACTACCACTATCACCATTGTTTCCATTGTTGTTTGGATTTTGACCGGATCCTTCATTATCATTTCCATTATTACCTCCTGTTCCAGTATTACCCCACTTGAATTATCTTCATTTCCACTCTCATCTCCATCAGTACCATCAGTAAAATTATCTATTCGATAATAACCCATTTTATTGCACATGCACACCAAATTACTTGATCCAAAAGGACCTTTGCGACATCTGTGCCAATCACCCTCCGAATAAACTGAACACTAGATAAAATTCGTTAAAATTTAAAAGATTTATTAGCAAAATATCCAAACATTGTAAATTATCTACCTACTTGAAATTTATTAGGTCCCTTCAAACTTTGCATAATAGTATTCGGCAGTTCATCCAACTTAAACTCGCTCATATCATTCTGAAACAATCTGGCATAATATAATAATCCATCAAATCCTAAATAATCACGAAGAACTGCTTTCCCAATACACATTTGTTTATCATGCACTTGCATGTGCCAAGACTGATTCAGCATCAGTTGTATATTTGACTGCCATTCATTAGTCGGATTTGGAACATACTTAAAATTCCTAAAGTAGCTATTGCTGAATTTTTCCAACATTACATACGCGGTTTGCAATTTAAACTTCACATTTTTCTTCTCCGGATCGCGATCACGATACAACAACGCACACACTTCTCCTAGATATTTATCCATATTCTTAATGAAATTATCTTTTCTTGATTTACAAGATTAATGTCATCAGATGTTGTAATGATAAACTCGGTAGTTTCAAAGTATTTTCTTATATCTTGAACTGTCACCGTGTCTAAATCTTTAGCATTAATGTCGTCAATCACTCCGAGAGCATCGCGTTCATCGTCTGTCACAATTGGAGCTGCCATTTTTTCGTTTACAAGTTTACCACGCAGTTTTACAATATTCTAAAACAAAAACTTTTTATTTAAAATAAAATTGAGTTTGATTTCAATATATTTACGTTTAAAACATCTGTAGAAGGTTTAAAAACATGTTCGGTTGATGTCAAAGCAGAAATCAAGTTATAAATTGATTGTTTGTGAGGTGTATCCATAAAAGCTTTAATTTTCTCATTAAGTTGAATATTCACTGACGTTTGCAAATTGTTTAATAAATATTCACTCTGTAAGCTTTTGTAAGTTTTGAAGATCATTATCATATCAATTTTAAACTTTTCAAAGTCATTGGAAGCAAGATCGCAGAATATTTGATCCTTAAAAGTGCTGGAAAACATGCGCATTGAAAACAAAGTTTAAAGTTTTATTTTGAATTAATATATTACGAAAGATTTTCTTTTGAACCGTCCAATGGTAATTTAACCTGAACTTTCGGACCTTCAACCATCACACAACTATCTTTATTATCACAAACTTTCATTACTGTGAGTAATGTACCATTTGTTTCTTTGATGTATGGTAAAACAGTTTCAATGGTGTAAAAATCTTGGAATTTTGCGATAAATGTCGGCTCTTTTATATTCACTTCATTTGAACTTTCAAGCCAACCAAAATAATAAACTAACGGAAAATCCATTGGTTTATCTTTGGCTGGAGTTGTTTCAAATCGAAATACGGTCATCAAAGCATCACCTGTTAAAGGAGAAACAATTAAATCCGATGCAATCGGCGGTGCATTTGTTATTATCTCTATATCTGCGACAATAATGTTTTTCTTAACACAAGTAGTTTTTAAACGCAGAAGATATTTTGCATCATGTTGCTGTTCAAAAAGTTTCGGTGGAATTTTTAAAGTTATCCTTTGATTTCCTGGCTCGTCACTAAACGGAGTTAGTTCTTTAAGGAACGCGTCACGTTTTACAAACACAGGCACAGTTTTATTATAATTCTGAAACAATTCAAAAGTGGTAATTACTTAAATTAGTAATATAAAAAGAAAATTAACCGTTTGTGATATGTTGAGTTCTTTGTATTTCTCATTGATCTCATTTTGTGTAAGATTGTGAATCGATCTCCATTGTAAAGTACATCCTGAAAGTATATTCATCATAGTTGCTGATATTTCAAGTTGTTCTGAGGGTTTTGTCCATGTGGGGATTTCATCGTATTCAATAGATCTATTTAAGTGTTTAACTTTAACATACGTTGTTAGTTTTTCAGTCAATCCAACAAGTGTAACTGTTAGATCAAATTGGTAACTAAAGGATACAAATACATTACATTAATTTATCACCAATTAAAAGACCAGCAGTTAAATGAACACACAATATTATTAACTTACACGCCAGGTTCAGGAAATCCCTTTGTTACATAAAGTGTTGGAGTGCTTGAAAATCGTCCACATGGTTTCGTATCAATCGTACAAGTCCAAATCATCTTAAAAATCATTTTTAACAAAAAACTTAATTTTAAACAGTAAAATTTACCTCATGTTTAATTTCTCTTGGAATATCAACATGTGCAATAACCTTTATTGGTTGATTAATACCTAAAGTTTGATTGCGACTTTGAAGGCGTATAACAAACTTGGGTTTTATCACAGTTACTCTTAAAATATCCTATAAAAGTTTACAAATAGTAATTTTAGTTAGATTATTGAATTAAAACTTTACCGAGGTTAAAACGTTGTCATTTTGTATTAATTCACAAATAATTTCATAGGTTCTAGCATTTTTCAAAGTGTTTTTCGGGATTTCAAGCCGTGAACCCGCATTATTTAAATACTGCGGTGTTGCAGCTGGATTTTCTTTTAATTTCCATTGAAACTTTTAAAACAAAAGATTTTCACAAATTATTCTCATACACAATATAGTATTCTAATTACTCTTGCAATAAAAAATATACGGAGAACTTACAGTGGCATTTGGACAAGTTCCCACAATAAACGCATTAATTATTAATTCACTTGTGCAGTGAATTCGATTGGGACCAATCAAGACTAATTCCAAATCATTTGCATTTGTCGAGTTTAATTCCAGAGAAATGTCTTCATCTACAGTATTTTCAATTCTTGTGGAAATTTCTAGACACTTTTTATTGATTACTTTACCATCACGTATAATTTTCAAGTCAATTGTGTATAAAATACCAAACTCAATCTAAAACGAATCTAATCAATCAATATTTGCTTTTTAATCACTAAATATTGCAACTTACTAAACCGTTATTGATTATTATTCCTATATTATTTCCATCGTATCTTACAACATTCACAACTTGCCCATTCACGTCAACGATTAATTGATTCTGCTGCAATTGATTTTGTAACACGCGTGCGGTCTTCCACGCGAGTAAATTACAAGGTACTCCACGTGGTTTTCTTTGGCACGTGCCAATCGTCTTAGCGTACACAATCCATTCATAAACATTAAGTCTGTTTTCATAATCATCCGAAAGTGAAGAATTAGCATTATCTTCATCAATGTTTAAACTATTGACAGAAAAATGATCGATTTATCGATTTTATCAATAATAAAATAAGTAATTCATTAAAATTAGCTGGTATTAACCTTATAATAGTTTGGTTGTCTCTAGATCCTTCTATGAAGAAGGTGAGACAGTTTTGGTTTTCACTGGACACTGCGCTTGACCCCAAGAGAATTATTAATATGAAGAAAAACATTTTCACTCTTTACACCGTTATTAATCGAACATAGAATTAATTCTTTATAACACCTTTTAGATTTTATAATTAAATTGGTATTTCTCCAAGGAAAAGTAACGTCAATAACACGTTTTGTATTTGTACTGAGGTTGAATTACTAAAAATGCGCAGTACAATTATGAATTTTGAGGGTTGAGGATTGTTTCTATGTATAGTGTAGAGACACGATAGACAGCAGTAAATAGGAATACACTAAAAATGTTTGTATCTAATGTTACTATAGTATTGTTGTCACCAATCTATAATATCACTAAAAACCCAGAACATTCGTGCTTCAATCATAACATTGCCACGTGCGGGAGCAATATTTATTAAACATCAATAGTGTTATAATGAAATGACAATTTAAATTTAAAATTTTGTTTATTTATGAGTAAAATCAATCAATCCTAATAATTTTATATACTGGAGGTAATTTTGTTGATATTTACATTCTATAAATCAAAAATGATAAATATTTGATGAGGTTTGTAGTGTGGCAATGCACGTGTATCCTACGTGCCACGTGTGTATCGCCCACGGCTTTATTAAGTTATTAACTGCATTTTTCTATATTTGTTTGTATTAAAACAAGTGTAAGTAAAGAATTTAGTATCAAACTTCGATGAATTTAATGAATTCTAGTGTTTTGAGTAACTTACAGAGATAATGTGTTAAAACTTTATTAGATACGATAAAAGATAACAACACTACTAAGATTTATTACATTGTTTAAATTATATTATAATAATTAATCTATATATATATATATATATATATATAAATTGCTGTTCGTTAGTCTCGCTAAAACTCGAGAACGGCTGAACGGATTTGTTCACATTATAATTATATTTACATATTTGAATAAAACTATGCCATATATAGTCCTTAAAAGTCCAACTTCCGACTGACCATGTTTTTCACCACGCGCGACAATTAAATGCATAATAATAACATTTCCATTAGAATTATATCATCACCATCGGAATTGGATTGTCTTTCATCAATTGTTTTATTTCACTTGCGTTTTCAAGTGTTGCAAAAACTCATGGTAAGACAACGCAGTCTCAACTCTATCCTCAACAACCAACCAGAAAAACGCCCCGCAGTGGGCTATTTTCCCTAATAATCTGCAATGTTGCACACATCGGCTTCTCCTCGTTGAGATAATTAATGAACATGTGCAGGCGCTGATTGTGTTCGTTATCCAAGACGGGTAATTCACACATTGAGTCTGTTATCGCGTTGTAATCAGCCACACCTAACGCTTGATTCAAAAACAGTCGATTCACGCCCTGACAAAACCAGAATCATATGGTCACACATATCAAACAAATATGCTCCAGTGGAATCAATACTCCTTGCGGATAGCTGCAGAATCGGCGGCATGTGAACCGGCTCCTCTTCATCATTCAGCACCGTGATTTGGTCTTGTAGATTATGCACAGGGTACAAATCCGGATAGATTTGTTGAATTAAATATTGCAGAGGTCTGGTTTTCATGTCACACATCGACTTGACACGATCATCCAGTCTGGTAGAGATGCCAGATCGAAAAGCGGGATGTTTTAGTAGGGCTGAGATGTACAATGGTAGCAGTCTCAAACATCTCGGTACTATCAGACTTGTATTACCCGCCATGTTCTGTGATAACTTGTAACTCGATAGGATATCGATAGCGACGTTAATGAAGGCTTCTCTTGCGTCTGCCAGACTTGACTGCATTGATCTATCAACAGCCATCTTAGCCAACAAACCCACGATACACTGTTGATCCGCCGAGTTGATAACATCAGACAGGGTTGACACCACTGGAAGACACAGCGTATGCACACGAATTCTTCGTTCGCCTTTACTCGACGTGTATAACAACGCCGCTTGAAAGCAGATATTCTGCACATCGGATAAATTCTCTTCAATGGCGACTTGCATTCCATAACCAGCATCAGGGTTAACATTCGGTAGGGATAATAAATCCGTAGACCGTACAAAGAAATTACCGTGGAACGTGTGGATGCTCAATCCTCTCGTGCATCTTATCCTCATGACTGCTTCAAAACCAATCTTTCTTGTTAGATATCTCTTAAGGGACTTCTCAAACGCACCGTTTTGTAATTCCCGACTTGCTTTGAACAATGGGAAGTGATACATGCAGCCACCACTAAACCGACAGATGCCGGAAATAGTAGCAATGTCTACGTACTGCGAGTTGAGTATGAATAAATCCACAGCTATCTGCTGACCACTGCATTCTAACGCAAGACGCTTGTAGAAATCATTGGCCGGATTCAAATGCAGTACTTCACCCGATGCTCTATTACTAGGATCTTCTCGAGCTGTTAGTGCACCTGGACCCATCGTGGGTAAAGATGATTGGAACACTGTGATTCGCCCACCTGTACTCGCCATCATCTTATGCCCGGCTTGCAGGGCCGCTCCAAGAGCACTGCCTGTATCGTATGAGTTATTATAACGTTGTGGTAATTGTGTTAAAAGGTCCTGAATTAGGTCCATTCGATCCTGTAGATTAACCAGAAGATTATCCGGACATGGCAGGAAGATATCATCAATATCCAACACTGTCATCTCATGGGGTTGACTGAGGCCATCCGCAAGCGAATAGAAATGCAGTGCGGAATCATACGCAATAAAACCAATGTGAGTGCGTGCATCACCAGGTAAATTAGCAATCTCAGCCGAAAGTGTCGCGCATACTGTTTGTAAATACCCGCTTTCAACCGCCGCCCGTGAAATATCCAATAAAAATAAATAAATCGCTGGTTGTGGAGGTCGCAGCATATACTCAGCCGGAGCGATATATTCTATAGTACTGGATTTTACTTCCGGGCGTCTCGATGGATCCCCATAGGTCTTGGTAACAGGATCATATTGGAACTCTTCGGGGAGTTCATTGACACGATAGCATAAGTTGCACTTCCAGCGTTTACTGTCAACGAAAAAGACGAATGGGTTGATGTACGTCCGGCACGCGCGGCACCGCACGATTGTATTGCATTGAATAACTGGCAAATGGTTAAGGTCTCGAAACGGATGAATTAAAATACCCAGAGGTAAACGGGATTTTTGTAGCAGTGCATTAGATTCGGGAATTTTCGTGACCGTGCACCGAAAGATGTCAGGACTACAATTGGCTTCATCCAGAGATGTGTTTCCAAGAGCAACGCGTGGTGCTTCGACTTTTGTCGGGGGAAGTATTGTGGGTGTTTGCAAGAGGTCGAAATTATCAGCGCCCCATAAACGATTAAACCCAGATTGCACTGTTGATTGATACTGTTGTTGTTGTTGAGGTTGTTGATATTGATTCAACGGAATTTGCTGCATTTGTGGTTGAGGAGTAAACTGTTGTTGCTGTTGTGGTTGTTGGTAGAAATTCCGACTTTGCACATTCGGATTGGCATTAAACTGCTGTTGTTGTTGTTGTGGTGCAGGCGGTGCCTGTTGCGGATACCGATTAACATGAAGACCAGCTTTATTAGATATGTTGTAATTCTCAGGAGCTGGTCCCGACAAACTATTGCTTTTCTGCATGGGTGGCGGCGGCATCCCCGGACGTTGTTGATTAAACAAGTTCGGACTTGATGATTGCGGCTGTAGCGCCGGCCTAATTTGGGTGGTGTTGGCACTTGGTTGGTGTTGGTATTGTGGCTGCACCCCGGATAATTGAGGTGGTAATTGAGGTTGCGCCTGTAATGTCATAGCTGGCAGTGGCATCGGTCCCCTAACATTTTGATAATTTTGGTTTTGGTTATATCCATTCATTTGATTATTCGGCTGGCTAATCGTGGGAGGTGTGTGATTTACTGGTGTTGTTTGCATGGCTGGGTTATAATTGTATGTCATCATCCTAGGTTGAGACAAACTGGGTTGTAACGGCGGTCTTATCGAAGGTTGAGCATTACTGCTCGGTAGCGAATTCTGATGTGCGACACCACTACCGTTTCGAATCGGAGCAGTGGATGGCACTTGCGGTGGTTGATTTTGTGGCTGCTGACTAGGAATCGGATGTGGCGGCTCTTGCAGTTGCTTGACATTCGAAAAATGACTGGTTGCCGAGTGCGTGAAACCCGCTGCCGAAATGGGCGATAAATTAGCACTTTGATTAAACACCTGAGTACGTGCTTTCAGATCCCCAACGTCTGTTGTGGTTGTAGGCGTGCTGAAATGTTGCAGCGATGGGCTGGATTGCGGCGTTGATACAACATTCGCATTAATGTTACTGTTACTAATGTTCATGTTGGCGTAGTTGTTGACCAATTGATTCATAGGCACCTTTCCGGTGGGTGGCAGCTGGTTGGATGGGATTGGCCGCATGCCGCCACTGCCAGGCCCTGGAAACATTCTCGCTGAGGGCGAGGAATCTCTGGACGAATGTGATGATCGTGATTCCAAACCGTTGAGGTGTGGTGGCAGTCCTGAAGGGATTCCGTTCGGTATGTTCGGGTCCATCGTATGTGACATTATTGTTTCCCTGAAAATCAAAAACAATACAATTAAGATGTCCTAGGTCAATGAATAAATGTGTATTACACTTTTAAGATATTGTACAAGACTTTAGCTTCGATAGCGACCGACATATCGACGTTTTTCAACAAACAAGCGAATATAAAACTATTTATATATGGGGGCTTTTTACCGGCGCGTTATTACTACTCAGCGGGTGAAAGCCGACTGAATTTCCATAAAACGAGCAGTTGTTAAATGCTTTCGCTTTCATCGTGCTCCAATCATCATACATTCATTATTAATACACGCGGCGCAAGCCGCACGCCTATTGGAATAGGGTGTCAAGGTGATAGTACTACGTCTCAAGTTCACCGAAATGAGCGAAACTACGAGAACTTAAAAGACCTCGGATTAGAATTTAATAAGAATCCTATTCAATGTCCCATACAAATTTAATTCAATATCTTACTGCATTTATTTATTGATATTGATATTGAAAAGCAGCTTATTGCTTTTAGCAGATATTTTAAATTGATCTATTTGGAGACAATGGATATGAATGTTAATTGATTTGATTGAACAATGTTTAAACAAAATATTTCATTGGAAGAGTGTAACTTCCATTGTGAATTGGAAGTAATCAGTTGTTGATTTTTCATTATCTCTCATTTTACATGTAAATATATTGCCAACATGCTATGTACGTGACTTGTGCTTATGCTCCTCCACCCATATCAACAATATGTTGCAATTTTTGACTAGTTTTACTATAATTACTTTCTCAGTTCTCAAAAACAAACTTAAAAATCTTGATAAAAAATGTCCTCCACGTTTACACGCTTACTACTAAATAATAGTTTGTATAAATAATGCTAATTAATGCTCCTCGTGCAATAACATAAATTAAAAGTTAAAATGACGAGTGGATTTACAAATAGCTGATTCATCTCCAGTAGTTTTGGTCGTTTTGCGCGCACATCACAGCAAGAACGCCAAGAAAAACAACAAAATTTTGCGATCGAAATTGAAAGACTTACGCTTCCCCTTTTAGCACCTTCAAAAGCTTATTGCTCCAACAATACTTTAATTAACTTTCTGGGCACTTAACAACACATACTTAAATGAATTTTGGGTCTTAATCATGTATAATTATTGGAGACCTTTGAACCAGCTTTGGACACGTTCAGATGCGCCTTTTCAAAACGCTGCAAATCACGCGGGCGGTGGCCAATGCCTGATTTTTTTTCTTTAACGCAAAGATAGATTACTTGCCTTTTTGAGCCAGAAGCACGCACTTATAATTATTCAGTAGAACATAATTATTTAATGAATGTAGTCCAGTATGTTTGCAAAGTTCGCGATCTCTGCGAGCACTTGACACATCGGTCTGACTGCTGTCAATCTTACGTGGCCGGTACGTGGCGCCCTCAAACGTCAGTTTGGTAATTAAACTTGTATCATCCCAAAAAATATTTGGATATAATAATAGTAGATGATTGTATAAATTTACAATACATTTATAATTGATTTAGAATAAACATTTAATTATATAAGTATATAAATTAAAAAGTAGTATTTAAACTAATCGTAAAACACAATTGACAGGTTGACTTGGCGAATGTCACCTAACTTGCATGTTTTTGACATTGACAGGTTTATCATTTCTTCGTAGTGCTTATTAAGTTTAGTGAATATCATCCTTTAATCAAGAATTTATCAATTAAAATGACGCTGTATCATTTTGGAAATTGTGTAGCATTAATCTACGTACCATATTACTTAACATACAAGTATTCTGGCCTGTAAGTTTACAAATCAAACAATTTTTATTTATGTATGTCTCATGATTATGTCTTAATTAATCCTATTAAACATAGTTCTGAATATGGGGCGTTCTGGAAGTGCATTCACGCCGGAATGATTTACATGTTCACCCAGCTGTGCAAAATGTTAATTTTGGCCACGTTCTTCCCTGATAGCGACTCTGATTTAGGCAGTAATATTCTAGGAGTAAGTAAACTATTTTCTAACCTCAAAAGCTACGGTTTTTATTTAAAAAAATAAATTTATTCAAAATAAAGTACATCTAAACAAAATACTTTTTGTATACAAAAAAGTACACATTATTTGAATAGAAATTTCATAGAATTTTCATATTTTTTAATCATTAAGCAAAATTATTCCAGGAATTTATGAAATCAACTGTAGATATAGCTGACTTGATTGGTCTTTACTTTGTCCTCTCTGGAATACCTGGAAAAGGCCACAGCAAAGTCCTAACAGCTGGAATTGGATGGGCAACTGCAGAAGTAATCCTCTCCAGAGCACTGCTCCTCTGGGTGGGCGCACGTGGCGCCGAATTTGACTGGAAATACATCCAGAAATGTTTCGACTCAAATATCATGCTTATTCAACATATTGCTTCAGCCACTCTCATCTGGTTGTGGTCTAGGCATGATCTCTCACAGAGTTTGAAACCAATTGTTACAGCTCTGCTGGTATTCACTGCATATAAAATGATGGCGTTGGATACTGTAGCCAAAGTATTACTTGTAGGCCCTTGGATGATGCTTTTAATCAAAGCATTTGTCACTTTGGTCACTGGAGGCGTCACATTAACCATTTATTCTGGTCTAGCACAGAGTATTGGTATTTTTAGATAAGATTACTTGGGTGGTATAGTTACAAAGTAATATTATCTTGTTATAAAAGAATTTCAATTAATTCAAAATATTGTATTTAATATTTATGTGTTTTTGGTCGAGTTTTCATCAATATACGAATATATAACGTAGCAAATGGCCAGAAAAGATAAAAATTAATAGAATTTATTTTTACAGCCACTCAACGAATATAACGTAAATAACAAAACAAGGAAGCTGTACATCTGTACATTTTCAATCCGATCGTGTGAATTCTCAAACGCCGCATATAATATAACATCTGTTGTAAAGTAGAACTAACGATTAGTAATGGATTTTTTCAGTTTTTACTTCGGTGAGAGAAGAGAAACCGTGTTAATTAAAATATAACCGATTACGAGGCAACTTCTCCTAGGAGAACAAGTACATAAAAATATAATCACTTTAAACAACCAATCGGCCAAAGTCACGTGGCAAAGTTAGCGAAAATATATATTTTATATATTTAGAAACAATCCATTGGCATCATCCACAAGTCACACCACAAACATAACCCGATCCAGATGTGCGCCTCAATCTTGTTTTAAACAAGTACGACTTGTGGTAACGCACACAATGTTTATATATCACAACTCATCTACGATGGGGAACAGCCGCCAGGGCCATCGTAATTTTCGGAGTCGTGCTCGGACGCCGAGGAAGTGAAATCGCTGGACGATGAATTCGAGTCACTCGAACTCGAGTGATTGCTGAGGTCGTCGTCGGCGGTCGACACGATTCTCTGTAAGACGGTAACAGAAAACAAAAGAAACAACGATCAAGTAACTTCACGCAACAAGTAAAGAGTAAAGAAAAAGCATATCAAGTGCAACAATCAGGTTTAATTATAATTCTGTATCAATTCGTATCGGAAAATGGCGGTACCTGTAAAAGTTCGGTAGTGTTAAACTGCCTCCAGAGCATCCAGAGAATCCTCGCGTTCTCCACCTCGGATGAAGATGCCGATGACCAATGCGAGCGCTCCTTTAGGTTTTGTTTTACTGTATCAACAAGGTCAGTCATCTTCGGATCCTCTTCGTAGGAAGGCACCCATACTTTAATATCTCGATCAAGACCGCTTGTACATAGGAAGGGCAGTTGAGGGTGTGGCTCCAAGCAATTTACCTTTGCAAGAATATTTTTAATATTTCGTAAGTTAAAAAAATATTTGGTACTTACAACACCATTATCATCAGCGCGTAGAAATTGCACAATGGCCTCGGAACTCTTCTCCCAAAAGTAAACATATCCGCAGTCGGAGCCGCTGATTATAAACTCCGACTTAGGACCAAAAAAGTTGACGCCTTTAATGGTCGCGCGATTGCGATGTCCTTGATAGAAGTGCACATAGTCGCCTTCCTTTGCCTTTGTATCGAATAAATAAATATCTTCGTCGTTGTACGAAGCCAACACTTCGGAACCGTTGTGATTATAAACCGCGCACGTAACATGGAGGTGCTTTTGGATATCACCAACTTTCTGCAAGTCATATATTAGAATTAAATACTAACTAGATAATTTTGTTTTCACTTACATCGAATGGATGATAAAAAGCTAATTCCTTGTTTGCTTTTCGTAGATCGAATGTCCTCGTTTGATAGTCCCTACCAGCTACACAGAATTCGTTGCTGTTGAGTGGATTGCTGCTTATACTGTACAAAGCTACAACGTCCATGTCATCGCGATGTACGGTTAATACCCTAAAATTTAGTTTTAGTTATTTTTATTTTTATTATTTAGTTAGGATTTAACGTACTTATCTGATTTGGTGCATCGAAGATCATGCTTAAGAACGAGCCCATCTTCGCCGGCAGAGATGACGACTTGTGGTTGATCGTATAAAACAGTTAATTTATGACTAGGACCCCGATGCGAACCCAGTTTACGTGTGCTGCGGAAACCTTCTTTAGCGGATATTTGCGCTAAACGTACCTGGAACAAAAATTATTTATTTTTAGGTAAAAATTTAAACTAAAAATTTATTATTACTTGTCCATCTCTAGCACAGGAAACAATATGTAAATCATCCCCGCTCAATGGCATAAACTTGCTCTGAAACACATTGCTGCGATGTTTGGACTCATACGACATCAAAGGATTGCCCATTTTCCAATCCCAAATAACAATCTCTAAATCATCCGAGCCGCTAGCCAGCAATGTTCCATTCGGATGAAAATTAATAGAATTGACGCAGCCCGTGTGCTTGTCCAATTTGTACATCAATTCCAATCGCTCTACGCAATGCAAGGAGCCATAGCACCTCTGTTGAAATTGCGCCGATGATTGTCGGTTGGCACTAGTGCCGAACTGCCGGCTTTGTATCTCGGGTATGATAAACCAGTTGTGTTTAGGCTTCGCCTTCAAGAGCACGGCGGGTTTGTTGTCCTCCTCCTCGTCGGTATCTGAGTCGGTAAGGCGATCTATGCCGCGCATCGCACTATCAAAATAACCATCAGCGTCGTCGTTTTCATTTAAATTGGACGAATGCATTGCTCTCGCGGCTGTTAGTAACACTTCTTCGAGTTCATTCATCTCGGATGCTGAAGAATCTGCAGATGAATGTGTATCAGCATCAGCATCACTGTTGATAAGATCCCTGGACATAGGGACATGCTGGCTGTTGGTTTCATCTTCAGTAAAGAGAATTCCTTCTGAAAATAAGCATATATTTAAAAATTTGACATTGAAATATGATTTTTGCTTTAAATTAGTAAAAATCAGTTGAGTACTTGATATTCCCCAATTGAGAATTTAATATTCAGTACTTACCTGATGTTTTTTCTTCTGCAACACTGTTAGTCATCAAATTGTTACCAGAACTTGTGCTTGCCTCGCAAACACTACTATTACATTCCTCTCGAGGCTTGGATTCATTCTCCTCACTGTCAATGGCAATGCCAATCTCATCCAGTTGAACATCTTGAGCATCCTCATTCATTCGACTGCGTTTAGCATTGTCGGCATGTAGGTGTTCTTCATCTGGAAGATCTGGCACCAGAAAATTCTTAGCTGCCTCCTTTGCGGCCGAATCGCCGTCGCCACCGTCAGTTGAACTTGCCCCGTCCATCGTCGATCAATTCAACTCGTGCGCCCAGACTATAAATACACGAATCGCAATTGCGTTGCAATTTCGTTGAATGCAACCGCTTGTGAGAAGCACGGTTTAACGGAAATTTGCTCACGCACTTTCGTAGCTGAACGCTACGAGTTGGGGTGGAGGAGCACACCGCCTGTACGCCACATTTGTGCAAATTGTCGACGGGATTAAAGCGCACCACGAGCTGGCAATGTCTCGCGAAAAAGGCGGACTTTCCTTCGCTACTGAATTCAATTTCTATTTCGATAACACTGTTTTGTGTTTGTGCCTGACATCCGATTATCGAATGACAGTGGGTCGGAAACCAGTGGATGGAGAATTTGAAACAGCTGATGTCGCTGTTCGCATAAAATCACTGCAAAATTAGCGGCGAATTTGTGAACTAAAAACAAATTTAAATTCGCGACAGTTCGCAGCGAAAAATTCACCGGAAGATAAATAAATAAACAACGATCAAGATTAATTAATATTGTGAAATTAAGATATTTATCATGGGCTTTGAATATCCAGAATACCAGTTGAACAACAACCCAGTCTTTGACACACGATTTACCTACATTCTCCTGATTTCTCTATCATCTGTTGGATCTATTGCTCTGCAACGACAATGCCGTCGCTATCTCGGTCTTGTGATCTCAAGTAAAATGTTCATTTGCATCGGTGCTATTATATGTGGTACCATCGCCGTAAACACAAACCTCCTACAATCCCTGACTCTAACAAACCGAAAAATACCACCAATTCTGGCTAGATGCGCATATTCTCCGATTTTCCTCCTCCATGTTTTATATAACGTGAATACGAAGAAAACTGAAGGATTCATGGTACATATACTATCATGTAGTCTCCTTCTTGGAAATGGCTTCCTCGCTGGTTATTGTATGAAGTTCCTGTACGCCGACACTCAAATAATCCCGTTCCTAATCCTTGGAACAGTGCTAACAACCACACAGCCTGAATACATGATTCATTTCCTATCCCTGAACGACAGTTACAAGAGAATCATCCACTACTTACAGGGTGAGAGTATACTTGCATTAGTTTTTACCTTTCCTTTGGTGGATTACGTGATGCATTATATTGTTGATGGTACCCCGGATTGGGGTGCCACTTTATGGTACTTTGCTCTCGGGCATATTGTTGGAATGTTTATTGGATGGTTCGTTGCTAAAGTGATAGCAATGATATTGAAACACCTTGTGCTAAGTCTGGATTCAATTTTTGGTATTATTGTTGGAGCTTTGATATTCGTCTATGTTTCGTCCATTGTTGTGAGCATTTCCGGTTTCACGGCAGGTTTGGTTTTCTGCTTCATTATCAAAACTGAAAATAATATTTATATTGACATCTTTGCCAAGCATTTTAAAATGCTACTTCATATTGCTTATGTCATTGTGGATGATACCATATTTTTCTTTGCGATTACCCAATGTATCATACGATGCTTTACGAAGAACCATATTGATAACTATTTCTATTGTTATATCATCTTGAGTTGTCTTCGTATTATCAGTATAATGGTAGTAAATTTATGCATAAGAAAAATGGACAAAGCAAGCATTTTGCAGATCTATCTGCATTCCGTGGTCTTTCCAACGAGTACATTCAGTCTGATTTTTGCTACTGAATTTTACTTCCAGTCTCCTGAACTAGGAAGCATTGCTTTCGCTCATACTTTATTCAATACTGGTGCCTCGATGTTGATTAATAATTTTTTTGGTATTAATTTGATGAAATGGATCAAAATTGGGTATATATCTCAAATGGGTGTTGATAACATGACACGCACATTAAACGTAATCAAAGAGTTCCGGAATGAAATCGTGCGTGAAAAGAAAATGGATCGCAGTTTAGCTCAAGTCAACTGGAATATTGTGAATGCATATGCTAAGTTATCCTTGGGATATCCGTATCCGCCATTGAAGATACCGGTTGACTGGGAAAATAATATCGCATCGGAGTATTTGAAAGAAACTTATATGTGTTGCGAAGTTTGTCCAAATATGCAGAAAACTGATTATGCAACTGTTTATAAAGCAGCTTTAAAGTATATATCCTATACTGACTTTAAAACAAAATTAAAAATTACTACGTTATAGAAATCAACGAAAAATAATGGCAAATTTAATCAAATCCGTGATAAGAAGAAAATTTGAACAATGTTTCATTGACGCTGAATGTGATTCTATCTTGAGGAAAGCAGTCGTTTTGTATGAAGAAGGCAACTCGAATGCACCTGTTCAACTTTTCAGTGATTTGTTAATAATCAAGGTAAATTATTGAGTATTTAAAGTTAAAATCATAAGAAATATTGTTTTAGCCTATGTGGAAACATATGAAACGGTTTTTCGATTTACTTGACACTCGTAAAAAGCAAATCATTCCAAGGAATCGTCTCTATCGTTGGTTTTACCACACGCGAGCCAGTAGCATGTATCAAATTCTCAATTATGTGATTACAATTGCTGTCCTGTTTCCAATTTTGGTTCAAGTGTTAATTCAAAACCTAATGAGGAACTACGAACCCTACACCTATACAATCGCGTTAATTTTCTTCGTGTTTGACTGCTACGTGAATATTATTGCATTCTCAGCCATGAATTTATCAGAAGGAACAAAAACTTACTTCAGGTTAGTTTAAATTAATATTCTTCCTTCTGATTTAATTATTATTAATAATATCTTAGTTCTTTTTGGCACTTGATGGACTTTATTTCAATATTCGGAGTTCTCGCCGAGTGTATTTTATCATGGATGGAAGTAACATCAGGAACATCAAGTCCTGTACTGGAAGGTTTCGCTTATATTAAATTTGCGCGTGTGCCACGCATTCTACATTTTTTACCTCTGGTTCTGCCAAAATTTATGTTCTCGATGGAATACGGTACAGAATTGAGAAAAATGTTGGCATATCAATGTGTGCTAGCAATGAATGATTGCATTAATGAAGTCCTTATCTATTGCAAACGTTGGGATCAGGAAGTAACCGATGATGTTCTCCGAGCGTTGACGCATGAACTACAGAGCAGCAAGATGGAACTGCAGGAAATTATTGTTCAGTTACAGACGGAAATGCCGCTGACGACTTCATCAGTTAAAACCAAGCAGACATTGAATGCCAGCAGATGCTGCATGAATAACTATCTCATTAAGTTAAAATTTCAAGGTGTGCGTCTTTTATTTTCAAAGAAAAACTGTTACTATTGTCTTGTATTGTAGGTAATATTGACAGCAATGAATTTGTGTTTCTGAAGACATTGATTAATGATAAGCGAACATACAAGTATAGCGTACCACCGACTAACCCAACGTTGTTGTTTTTGGGAAATTATTGGATTTCTAGTACAAGTGCAGCAGCAGATTTCCTCAAAAGCCGGGCTGTTTTGCAAACATGGCCATCCGATCATCTCTTGGTTGAAGTAGGCGATAAAGTATTGGGAATTTATATGTTGGTCAAAGGACATTTGATAATTACACATCGCGCGCGATCTCGTAGGAATAATACGGATAATAAAAAAATTCGTTTCGATGAATTTGAAAATCACTTCATTTCACCCGGAAATACTTTTGGTGAAATTGAACTCCTAACTACAGGAAGATATAAATATTCTCTACGATGCGCTGAAGAGTGCAAAACGTATTTTATTAATTTATCGACGTTTTCTGAGGCGTTGGAATTGAGCAAACATCCAATCAACGGGTAAAGAAACTAATAACAAATAAAGAAAAATAATTTTAATATTATTCTATCTACAGACTTGAAGCAACTCTCTGGAAACGCAAAATGATGAATATGTGCACGGAAGTGCTGATGCGTCAGCCATCTTACAAGTATGAGGAAATGTGGGCCATCAAGAAAAAGATCCAACGTGCATTCGTGCCAGACTTACGCTGTTACAAAACTTTTATTTTTGTTGATTCCATTCGAGATATTGTTCTAATCGAAGGTCATGCAATGAATCTATACACGCAAGATATTTATACGGCGCCTGAATATATTCCTAGGTAATAAAATAAGATTATAGATATATTTCTATACATAAAACAAACAAAAAACTTTAGAACAGCAAAGAAATTGGTTCTGCCCCGTCCAAGACTCTTGAAATCAAACAACCAAATCCGCTATGTAATGACAACTAAGTTCTTGGTGATACCCGTCGATGATATTGAACCTATCGCTGTTCTCGCGCATGAAGAAGCTGCCGCCAGTATGATAAGTCATGATTTTGTTAATTGTCCTTATCACGTCAGCCAAACCAAGGGAAAACTTAAAGTTCGACGTCAATTAATTGATCCAAAGAAATTTCAACTCAACGAGGCTTTTTCAGCTTCTATTGTGGGATATTTTTAGTAATACAAGTTGCACATAATTTCACTGCTAATTAAATATTAATGGTTTAATATAATATATTATTTAAGTAAAATAATTACACCAATTTTCATTTGCGAATATGCTTTGGATGATTTGTCAGGTGTGAGGTTGTAATTATTTTAATTAGCTTGAATCAATTATATTTATTCTATAAATTAGCGGATTTTATGAAATTTTGATCAGAAATTTATTGTATTTCTGCAAAAATGACAATACCTTATTACAACATTTTAGATGTGAGCCAATTTAGCCTTAAAACAATTCGGCAGAGAACCCACGATGGTAAAGTTGGCGTCGTCACTAATATTGGTTTTAATTGCTTGGCACTCATGTTTGAAGTTCTAACGATTATGTCTTTCTTTCATTTTGATGGGGATATTAATTTACTTGCAAATTTACTTGAATCTCTTACAACTTTCAGTCAAGTAAGTAATTGTTATTAATTACAATTTTATTTTGATTATTTTAAATCGTTTCGATTGAAATTTCAGACGTTTATTAAACTGGTGCCTCTTTTGATATATCGAAAACGCATTCAACATCTTTTTGACGCAATGAAGCACTTCTGGAACCCGGAAGACTTTCCCGAAGTACTCCCAGAAATAAAAGAAACTTATAAATACACTTACTACTTTCTTTTGAGTTACCAATGGGTGCTTTACTTAACTTTGGTATTTTTTACGTGCAACCCTTTTTCACCTGGACATTCTCATGGCCACCTATGTCCCCGATATACCTGGTGCGTTTTGGGTGATATTAGTTCTGGAATATCCGATGGGATTTCTGATGTGTTCGGCGATGACTGGCTTTGATACTTTATATGTTGCTTTCTTTACGCATCTTGTTATTCAGCTCAAGTGTTTAAACAACGCGATGGAAACCATGGACATGAAAAGTCCAAATTTTAATAAAACATTGAGGAAATACCTTAATCATCATAAATTTATTCTTAGGTACTAGTAATAAAACATATCGAGAATATAAACTTAACTTGATTTTTAGCTTTGCTGATGAATTGTTGGATATTGTTGGAATTCCAATGCTGGGACAGTATATAGTTTCGATGTTTTTAACTTGTATGGAATTTTACTTGCTGAGTGATAGGTACACAAGGTTATTATATATTAAACAATTATTTTATTCATTTTTTGAAGTTTTGAAAATCCACTGCGTTTGCTTATGAGTTTGGGCTTCACAGCAAGTCTGCTGTTTCAATTTTGGTGTTACTGCTATTCAGCAACTGAATTTACAACTGAGGCAGTGTTTTTACTTTATCATCATCTTTTATTTATTAATTTAGTATCTTTTATAGGCGTCTCTTCTCGGAGAAGGTGTTTACATGAGCAGATGGTATGAAGGTACTCCTAGTCAACAGAAAATGCTCAGTTTAGTCATCTTAAGAGCTCAAAAAGAAGTCAAATGTACTGCTGCTGGTTTAGTTGAGATTGACCGACGTGCTTTCATGGCTGTACGCATTTCTAAACATTTTGATATTTAATTAATATTACTTTATTTTTCAGGTAATTAAAGCTGCGGTATCTTTCTATACTCTCATGAAACAATTTTAATAGGACGTAGAAATTTTATTTAACACGTTAGTAAGCAAAAAACACATCACAGTAATTGTATTGTTTTTTTTTAAGTTATAAATTATGAAAGAATTATTTGTGTACGCACTTAGTATTCTTGCGACATAGATATAATCAGATGATCATGTACTTATTAATAAAATATAAGTATAAATAAAATATATATATAATTTTATACTTTAGGAAAAAGGCATAGGACATTGAAATCAATAGAATGTAAATTTATTATTAAAATTAATAGAAAGTGGACAAACTTTTAAACTCTTGTACCACTGCGCCTTTTTCAAAATTTAAGTTGGCAACACTGTGTTTGGCATCGACGCCATTTGTGCATGTCAACGTGAACGCCAGTATGAGTTCGTCTGTTGTGGGGCATGTTGCTCGTGGTTTTCTTCATAACTTCGCGTTCTTACAGTATAAACAACCCTGTTTGTACTTGCTTCCCCGTTAAATTGAAGTATTGTACCGTGATTTAACCGTTTTATATATTATATATTCTTAAAATAGACGTTGTTGTCTAGACTTCGAGACGCTAACATTGTGCACACACGCACTGGACTTTGTTTTCGCCGGCATTGAAGATGTACCATTTAACCCCGGTAAGTCAACCGTTCATGGCTTCATTTAAAGCTGTAAATGGATTATCTGAATATCAGGGCACCTTGTTTGAGTATTAATACAAGGAATTTGCATGTTTTTTGCATATTTTCTCTGATTTGAATATTTTTTTGTTTGTTTCAGGACTTAACCAGCTCAAAGGAATGCACTGGAATGATCCTAACACACATTGATTGTAAGGTATTTAAGTTTTCTTTCTTATAAATTTCATTTTTCCTTGTATATACATTGAAAATTGCTGTTGATTTAAAATTTGTCAATCCGGTTACGCCGCTGAAAAATGACAGGTTCGGAGGAAATACTCGAAACAATTACAGTTTCCGATAAAAATTAAGCAATTCAGACATTCACCACTAGATGGCGCTAGTAGTTTTAAGTAGCTGTGCTACTTTCTCCTTTATAATTATGCCCTGTGCCGTTAGATGGCGCTGCATTCATTTTTCTGCTTGTTTTACTCTGCAATTTTATTTCGCTCAGTTTTATTTTGTGCGTTGCTGTGGTGCGACGTTCACCGGTTTTAAAGTTCGTTTTTCGTTGGATTTACCATTTTCTGAAATTGTTGTCGTTTCTGTTTAATTCACCTATTCACGTATGCATCGTTCTAGAAGTTTTATTCATAGGCGTTTTGTATTGTTTAAATCTTATGCCGGTTTAGAACGAAGAATCTTATCTTGTTATTGTCGTGAACGTTATCTATTTGCGTGCGGTGAATCTACTATTTCAAACTTGGGTATCCGTGTCTAATAATATTGTTTTTAAATAAGGTTTTACTTTAATTTTTGGTGATTATTTTTATTTTATTTTGTAGTATTATTGTGATTAATTGTGATTTAATTTTAGAATTTTGAGCATTCTGCGTTATATTCTCGTCCGAAGGTGGTCTTCTAACCCGGCTATCAGTTGTGGTGTCCACCTTGTCCATTTCCAGTCGTCTGCGTGCTCACTGCGATAAAAGGTATAGTATATAATCCATTACTTATGCTTGCTGGAATTGTAAATTCTGTATGTCAATTATGTTGTATTTATTCGCGGCAGTGAACTTCACATCGCATCACACGTGTTTTTATTATAATATCAAATTTCTATACTTTTCCATTTCTATTATGATTAATTATTTTTCATTTTCGAAATTGAAGCGTAAGGAACTCCTTGATGCAATACTTCGGTGGAACATACACTCGAGAATCGCTTGACATTCGATGTGATGTCATCTCATCGGCTTTGCTACGACATCAACCAAAAGGGACATCAAATGGACTATATTGCGTGAAGACCACCTGAGTTTCGACGGGACGCGATATCTCTATAATTTGTTGCTTATCTTGCAATCACTTCTTGCGCCCCCACATCATTTTTCAAACCAGTACAAATAATGCGCACAGGGAAGGGCACAAGAAAAACTTCCCGACTGTTAAACCACGAACGCATTCTTTTATTTCACTTATAATTAGAATTGTATATATTTAGGGATCTTTGACAATCAATTTGATGAATGCTTGTGGAATAATATGCAAAGTACTCTTCATAACGATACTTACAAAAATTAGCTGATTTAAGGACGGATTTTGCCCATCCAGTTATTTGCTACAAAATAATCCTTTTGTACATATTTTTACGTCGTTATAAAAAAGGTTATCAAGAGTTTATTCAAGGGTTGTATTCGTGTGTTGTAGAAGTTCGAGCTGCAACGCGCAAAAATTTGCATAGAAGAGTGATTTTTTAATCCTTTTCCGTGAAATGTTTGTATTTTTTCGGGTTTGCACGCGATCTAGGCGGCGTATTAACTTTCGCGCGGCATCAATAATTGCGGAATTAAATTCTCCGTCGGGTGGTATTTGTTTGTTGTCGGAATTCGAGCTGCAACACGCGAAAATTTGAATAGAACGGTGATTTTTTAACCCTTCTCCGTGAAATGTTTGTATTTTTTCGGGTTTGCACGCTATCTAGGCGGCGTATTAACTTCAGCGCGGTGTCTAGAAATGCGGAATTAAATTCTCCGTCGGGTTGTATTCGGTTGTTGTAGAAATTTGAGTTGAAACACGCAAAAATTTGTATAGAAGGGTGACTTTTAACCCTTTTCTGTGCAATACGTGTATTTTTTCGGGTTTGCACGCGATCTAGGCGGCGTATTAACTTTAGCACGCCGTCTAGAGATGCGGAATTAAATTCTCAGTTGGGTTGTATTTGTTTGTTGTCGGAATTCGAGCTGCAACACGCGAAAATTGAATAGAACAGTGATTTTTTAACCCTTTTCCGTGAAATGTTTGTATTTTTCGGGTTTGCACGCGATCTATGAGGCTATTTTCTTCAGCGCGGCGTCTGGAGACGCGGAATTAAATTCTCCGTCGGGTTGTATTCATGTGTTGTATAAATTAGAACTGCTACGCGCAAAAATTTGCATAAAAGGGTGATTTTTTAACCCTTTTCGTGAAATGTTTGTATTTTTTTGTGTTTGCGCGCGATTTAGGGGGCTCACTAACTTCAGCGCGGTGTCTAGAGATGCGGAATTAAATTCTCCGTTGTGTTGTATTTGTTTGTTGCAGGAATTCGACCTGCAACCCGCCGATACTTTGCATAAAAGGGTGATTTTTATCATCCTTTTCGTGAAATGTTTGTATTTTTCGTGCTAGCGCGCGACCTAGGCGGCTCACGAACTTTAGCGCGGCGTCTAGAGATGCGGAATTAAATTCTTTGTCGAGTTGTATTTATTTGTTTCAAGAATTCGACCTGCAACCCGCGAAAAGATGCACAAAATGGTGATTTTTTCACCCTTTTTGTGAAGTATTTGTATTTTTTTGGGTTTGTGCGCGACTTTGGCGGCTTAGAAACTTCCGCGTGGCATCTAGAGATGCGGAATTAAATTCTCCGTCGGGTTTTATTTGTTTATTGTAGGGATAATTTATATGACGCTACACATGGTGGGCGAGTGTTGAAGATGACCCCCGGATTATCGCTTTTTTTTTTAATTTTATTTGTTTCAGAAAATGGTCTCCATCTTGCAATTAATTAGCTGTAGTTGGGAGCGCCGTAGAAATACTGCCTAGTGAGCTAGTTGTGACAATACTGTTATCCAGGTATAGTTTTGATACACGAATATTTGTATGTAAACAATTTTTGTTGAGCCTATCGCAATAGCAACACCGCATGACCGCGTGGTCGTTTCAGAGCGCGCATTCAGTTACATTCCGGTTGCCGAGCGAAGCACGCGTATTCATCGCGACTAGTTTTATTTCTCCCTATTATAAATTGATCGTAAATCGTTATATTCAATAAGCAATCGACGATATGTATTAGAATTACGCGTGAACGGAATTTCGCCTGATAATAAGCACGAGTGAACTGTCGGTCGTCGGGGATTATTTTTCGCGTGTAGATTATACTTGACTCGTGTTGGCCTGCATGCGCACGGCGTGCGTGTCCGTCCACTGTCGGTTATCACCCAGAATAACTTGGATTTATGTTTAATTCGAATAAGTAGACAACGGATGTGCCCGGAGAAGAAGTTTACACTTACAAGGGCCCTGGAGTTCCGAATATTCATCGCAGAAGAGATACAAATGTGCGCATATTTTAAGGCAAGGCGTCCGCGGCATTTAATAGTTGTCAATATTTTTCTATATAAAAAATGTTTGTTTTTGTAAATGTTGTTAATAAAATAAAATTAATATAAATTAACATCTCATTCATATTTGTTTTTGGTATCCTCCTTGCCTTTTTCAGTATATCAGCATTTCATACATTCAATATAAATATTATGCGCATGGAGCGAGTGCAACATATCTGATACTTGTGTTGTTGTTTTTAAAAAGTTGATTAAAGTAGAAACATAAATAGAAGAATCAAATAAAAATAATAAAAACACTCGGTGGTCGAGTGGAGACGTGCACCTGCTGGCATGCTGGCAGACACGGATCGAATCTCAGGTATAAGAGGCATTTTTCTCAAATATAAAAATATCAGGTGTAATTTGGGTTGCATATATGAATTGCAACGAAATATAAGAGAAGTTGAAATATAAGTGAAGGCAATAAGAGGAGTAAGAAAGTGAGTAAGTGGAGAATACAAGAGATACAAGAAAGAGAACAGGAGTGGATGAGATTTTTAAATTTTTTGGCACGTGTCGTTATAAGACAGTCTAGGGTCGATCTCCCAGAGCGCCTCCGGCGCTCTGGTCGATCGCCACTACTTCGATCCGTCCATTGCTCAACCCATCCTGCAGCTACGATGTCTCTGCGCTTCATCCCAGAGAATTATCGACGCTATCAGCAATTTTTTATGGTGGGGATCATCCCCGAGTGGAGAAACTCCTTAGGACATTCTTTCAGAACTTATAAAAAATATTTCTAAGTTTTAAGTCGCCTCAAGAGGCGACTACTTAAAACTGTTCTTACAAGTTCTGACCTGTACCTGGGGAAATAGAGAAGAGTACACAAATCATACAAGATACCTTAACAAATTTTTATAGTGGGGATCATCCCTGAGAGGGAGAACGCTCTTAGAACCTGTTCTGAAATGATAGAAGAGGGACATTCAAAGCATAAAACATAATATTTCTTTAACATTTCTTTATTAATAATAGAGATACAAGTTTAGATTTTACAGAGTCAACAAAATACATGTCGCCATATTGGAAACGGGACTTACGACCTGTTTAGCCGCGCACATGTCAGCAAGGTACTACTTTATAAAGTTCTACCGGGATAATGAAAATAGTAAATAGTCAATTTTCTAGGTGATTGAAGAGAAATGGAAACAAATATACAGGGTGTTAAAAAGGAAAATTTAATGTGAAAACAGAAAATATTTTAACTTCTAAATATCATTAGATTTTTTTTCACCTGAGGCTCCGGGAAACTAATATACAGGGTGTCACGAAAAGAAAATTCAAAAGGAACGTGAGGAAAACCCTTAACATCAACAATAAAACAAAATTTCCACGGACATAAAAGAAAAAATGACTATACAGGGTGTTTCAGAAGAAAATCTCTAGTTGAAACAAAAGAACACTCCAAAACTCCCTACAAATATCGGCGATTTCTACGTAGTGTTAGGAGAAGAATTAATATATAAATCATCATATCATATAATATCATAATATATAAACATATAAATCATCCGGGAAATTGAACAAGAAGATGGAACAAAAATAAAGAAACACTTACATTTTAACATATTGTAGATGTATATGTATTGATGCATCAACTGCATAAAATAACCGACGGGTGAAACATCATCATAAATGACGGCGAAGCGACGGCGCGTAGCAATATAGTTGTTAGAGAAAATAAAAATAACTATTATTTTGCTGAAATATTAAGATGTAGAGACGATGAAAACGAAAACTATACAACGTTCAGGAGATTTGACCTAGTAAAATCTTCTTAATTTAATGATGCTAGGGAGTGCAAATCGATAAAAATATTCACGTGTTCAGCGAAAAGATGGCCGAACCGACGGCCGACGGCAAAGTGAGCGTGGTCGACCATATGAATATTGCCAATTTTAATAATCTTCAGATACTTTTTTTAAAACAGTATTTGTATTAATTAAATCATCCATGTTATTTTCGGAAACGGAACCAAAATTTGATAAAAATTCTACATAGAGGAAGTAAGGGTAATGGGAGGTCAGCGGGTAATGGGGTCACCCTTATATCCACGAAACAATAGTTACGAGTAACGCGTAAACGGTGTTCCTACCTCCGTTTCTGGCCCCCCCAATTCACCCGACAAATCATGCAAAATCGGTGCGTGTATCATTGAGATACATAATATTTTATTTTTGAGCTCCGCTGATCTAATTTTACGTCCACGCAAATTAGAATATAAGTGTCGAATATCTTGCAATATTCGGAATGAAACTTTATATAGTCTTAGTTAAACATTCAAAAATCGTGATATTACGAGTTCAGATTACATTAATGTTTTGAAGAAATATTTTTTGTTTTTCACAATAGTGCAATTGTAGACAATAAGTCATACGACTCCCAATGGACGTTTGTCTTTAGTCCGCTCTAAATGGCCTATAAAAAGCAATGTGACATTTTCAATAGCCTTCATGCAGGAAACGATACTGCAGGGAAAGTAACAAAATTTATGATTCACTATATTGGCACTGACTTATGCCAGGGGCGATGGATGAAGATTTGGAAAACTGATGTCCTAATGTGCAACGATTTTTAAAAACAATTAAATGTGGTTCATAGCACTTCATTTTAGGGCTGGGCTCATGTAAAATACACTGGGTGGGACTTAGCGGAATATTATGTTTGCGATATCTGCTAGATTTCGTTTTGATTTGATTATCCCAGGGTAACTCTACATTACCCGCATGTCAAGTGTAATGAGGAGTCAAATCTATTTTAAACTTTGTAATATCAAAATTGATTGTCAAAGTGACCGAAAATTATTTCAAATATGTGGGTATTTAAGTAAAACAATGCTTATAAGCGATTGCAATAGTATTTTTGTTTATAATTTAAATTATATTTGAGTTCTCCTTTAAGTGACCCCCATTACCCTCTTTTACCCTACAATATGTTTGTAATTTGCAAGATGCATGCAAATTACATATCACTTAAATAGAATAATCAGTTTAAGTTGAACTAGCGTAACTTTCCGTAAAAAAAATTAATTGCACACCTACCTATACATTGATGAGGGGATTTTATATCCTGGAACCGTCTATCAACTTTGAAAACACACTTTGAGATTAATGGACACTTATTTTTTATTCAAGGAGACTCTAAACGCCACAAATCATTAAACAGGCACACATGCCCATTGCGAATATTTTGCTGATGGTCGAAGAAGTACACCACGATTAATCCAATTAAAATCTCAAAGCACATGGCGATTAGAAAGACACGTTCGCGGACCACGCGGTGAAACGACTGCCGTGTGCGCGTCGCTTAGCCAGGTACAAGGCTGGTGCGTAGCGATAATACGCGTTACTCGAACAAAAAAAGTTGTTTATACACAAACGTACTGATAAACTCGTAGTCGAAAAGATCAAACTAAAATTTCACAATGTTGCAATAACTGACATAAACAAAATCTACTTTTACTTTCAATATTTCTGGGCATAAGAAAAGAAATTATACAAAAATATTGCATACGATTTAGTAATATTATAATCACACAGCGGAGAAAAACTAACTGAAATCTAGAAAACGGCAAACTCTCTCTATAAATAATAAAATAATAAAATAATTTGAAATAAGTAAGAAACAAAACAGTATTTACTTCCATGTGAAAATAAATGTTAGTTCCGTCGGAACGCAATCATTGAATTAAAATTGTTGTTATTCGAATAATAATGATAAGAATGACAATAATTACCAGGTTGCACATTAGTCCATGCTCCTCTGTTGATGACACAAATCAGTCTCGTTTTGTTTTGCACAGTCAATTAATTATTGGCATTCACAAAATATCGTCGGCCGTCTGCCGGTGGCCCGTTGCCCGTCGCCCGACGGCAACAGACTCAAAAACACGTGAATAAATGAAAAACGCAAAATTTATAATTAAGAAGATTACACACGTGATAAATAGTTGATAACATATCAAACACGTTTATTAACACTAGTGTCACCGGCTTGTTGGGAAGTATAACGCGATTTAATAGCTTGTATTAAAGAATAGCACGAGCCGAGAAATTCATGGAATGTGTGCTCGCTGCTATCACTTACCGATGCAACAAAACAAAATGCACTCGCTGGAATATTTTCAGTTAATCCTACATCCTTGCGCCATCTGATGACACTTTATAATACCACACAAAACAACAAAGTGTTTCAAACAGTAAGGCGCGCATGTGTGTCAGTGCGAAATTATGTATGAGGCAGTGAGTGGTCACGCACTTAGATAGCGACGTCCGTGTAATACACATACGCGAAAGTGTGCATGCACCACCTGGTCTTAAGAATAGCAGTTTTGTACACAAATGCAATAAGTTAAACCTAGATGAGGTGTGATGTTCACATTTAAAACTGCGTTTTACAAGATTGTTTCCAATATTAAATCATAAATGGTATTATATCAGCTTTCTTCTTACAACAATTAAATACAACTCGATAGAGAATTTAATTCTGCATTTTTATACTCCGCGTTTAAGTTTGTACGACGCCTCGTTTAATCACAGTAACTTTTAATTGCGTTAATTCAATAAAAGCCAAGTATAACTTATTAAGTAGGTACATACAGAAAAAAATCTTTTTGATTTACTCATAATTCAGGAAACCAAGGAGATATATTTCACATTAAATTCCTTTTATTACGTTTGAGCGTCATTATCATTTTTTTCAGATTTATAAAAATTCAGTTTAAATAATTTGCAAGCAACACCGTAGGCGATAGACACTCGGCAATTATTCGATTATTTACAGTCCGAATCGTCTTTGTAAAGCCCGGTATACAATCACAGTAACCCTCACGCGTCGCACCTTCGCTCACAGCACCTCAGCTTCTTTCACCGTCGCTTTGGAATGATCCAAGCCCCTCGGGCGCATGGCCCTTGAGTGTACAGTTTATAGCACTTTTCACGGAACATCACCGTGTTTGTCTCGCGGTCGCACCCCACTGCACTTTCGCTTACAGCGGATGCGGTACAGTTTGCTTGAATTCGGTTCTGACACGTTCTGACTGTATTTGAATTCCTCTTGGCTATAAATTCCT